CCCCTTCACCCTCCCCCCTACAGTAGGACGCACGGCCGAGTGGCAAAGGGTAGGAGCGGCGTATCCCGCCCGCCACACCTCCGACGTCTCCCCCAACACCAGCTTCCGCGGCAGGGCGTGTGACGGGCGCGCAGGAGCGGGGGCGAATAAGGAGGGAAAGGCGAGCGGGAACAGGGCGTTGGCGGTCACTGCTGCCTTCTGGCCGCCGCCCCCTTCCCCCCTTCCTCCCCCTCACACCGACCGACGCTGCTGACGTGCTGGGCCGCGACGGGGGAGGAAAGAGTAGGGCGGCCGAACGAGGGTGCGACGAATCCGCAGTGGTCGCAATCGAGGCCGCAAACGCCCTCGCGCAGCTCGCCGCCGGGACCGTTTTGACGGTCGCGACCGTTGCAACCGTCGTAACTATGACCGCAACGGAGGGCGTGACGAGCGCCGTGAGGGGTGGGACACGTGGTGGGCCCATGGGGAAAAAAAAAAAGGGTCTTAGAACGACCTAGCTCTTAATATCATGTCATAAACGAGCTTGAACCTAGGAAGCTATGTGAGGGTGTCGAGAGTAGCGAGAGGAAAGAAGAGCGTTTTACTAATACGAAAAGTAGGGAAGATGGGAAGGGGGGTACACCACCAACAGAATTTCCGAATCATACTGCACTGCCAGTCTAACATGCAGTTATAAATAATCATAGATTCAACATCGTCCTCGTCCTCGTCGTCGTGATGGTCGTCGTCGTCGTCGTCGTCGTCGTCGTCGTTGTCGTTGTTGTTATTGTTGTCGTCGTCGGTGTTGTTGTTATTGTTGTCGTTGTTGTTGTTGTTGTTGTTGTTGTTGTTGTTGTTGTTGTTGTTGTTGTTGTTGTTGTTGTTGTTGTTGTTGTTGTTGTTGTTGTTGTTGTTGTTGTTGTTGTTGTTGTTGTTGTTGTTGTTGTTGTTGTTGTTGTTGTTGTTGTTGTTGTTGTTGTGGTTGTCGTCGTCGTCGTTGTTGTTGTCGTCGTCGTCGTTGTTTGCTTGTTTGTTTGTTTGTTTGTTTGTTTGTTTGTTTGTTTGTTTGTTTGTTTGTTTGGTTGATTGTTTTTTTGTTTAGATATCTGGGTCATGTATACGTAAAAATACGGTAAGTGTCAGAATCCCAACCACTATACCATTGGGATAAAAGGGCTTGTTTCAGTAGCGGGTCAGTGCGCCCATAACCCCCCAGGCTAACAGGCCTGTAACCCCCCAATGATCAATCGGGGATCTCACAGTGCAAGTTTTCTGACACCCCCCCGCACTGGGAGGTCCAGGACTCGGCACAGCGGCAACGGCTTGCATGTGCATACACCGGGATTCGAACCCGACACCGCTCTGATGCCATGTCAGAATCCCAGCCACTAACCGCTGGGATAAATGGGCTTGTTTCAGTAGCGGGTCAGTGCGCCCATAACCCCCCAGGCTAACAGGCCTGTAACCCCCCAAGAATCAATCGTGGATCTCAAAGTGGTTAATTTAGGTATACCCCGCTTGCTGTTAGTTATAGTGTAGTTATGTGCATCCTATTGATGGTGGTGTACCTTGCCTAGTTTCTGCTCTCGTCAATCTATATCTTGTACTCACTTCTTTCTATCAATCATCTTTGGCCATTCCAATTTCCCTTGTCCTAAGCTCAAACCCTAAGTCTTACCTCCTAGGTTACTCTCTTATCTTTAGCAGAATGGTTGGTCCATGTATGTTGATCAAACTGAGCACGTGTGCACACATCGTTTGTTGAAATATTGTGTTACATTTCTTGTGTTTTTGTATAGTGTTGGCTAGCATAATGTATTAGTTGAAACCAGGTGCGTTTTTATTAGGTATTTAATATGGCCATTCAAGCCAAGCTTTATGATCGTAAACCATGCCGGTACAGTAAACTGATTGGTTTGCACAATCGCAACGGAAAAGCGTTCCACTGTAGCCGCGTCTGTACGAAAATTCCAGATAATGTTTAGGACCAACACGTGCGACTCGTTCGGGTTTGCGGCAAGTGGGCAATGCTGCTTTTGTGGGCTTTCTGCGAAGGACACAACCGAATTTCAGGAACATGCAATGAAATCTTGGTGGATTGTCCCAAATCCACTCTGTGGCGATAATGCGGCCAAGTTTACCCCATGAAAAATATACGGATAATATGAATACACCAAAAACTCGGAGCTTGTACTGTATACTTTAACCAATTTCTATCGTGACGGTTTCGTTCAGGTGATGATGTGGCGGGTCGTTTTGGGGCGCGACGGTCTAATGTGGTGACCCCTTACAGCGCTGAAAGTAAACACGACAAAACACAAGAGGACCCCCCCTTGCTCCAGACCAGAGCAGACCACACTTCGAAAATCGCGGACAATTTTATGTTTGGACGAAGTGTCCTTGTTGTGTTGATTGGTGGTGGTACGCATGGCTCACAAATTCGCACTCGGCTGCTCGTTTTACGGGCTCGCGTCACTGTTGTACAACAGCTTTCATTCGAAGCAATTCGATAACAACGATGTCCCCTTTGCGTCACCACTGAACCGTGTGGTGTGGACGTTCGAGCGGGTTGATGCGGAATGGGGTGAGGCTAGCGGGACTTCGTGGACTGGAGGAGGGTAGGTAACGGGACGGGAAAGAGAGCAAAGGGAGGCCAGGACGACGGTTGGGCGGGCGGAGAGGAGGGGTGCGGGGAAGAGAGGAAGTGGAGTGGAGTCTGGTCTGGATGGAGAGAGCAAGAGAGAAGGGGAGAGATAGGTGGACGTGGTGATGGATGGCATGGTTGCCACTAGGGCAGGAAAAGAATCATGGCGAGGTGTCAGTTCGGTACATGTGTTTTTAGATATAGGTTAATCTTCTCATTTACACTGTAACACCGGTGTACCTGTATCGCCACATTTGTTCCGTAAATTAAATCAGAGTCAAAATGTGTGTATTTTTTTTGTTAGAATGCGTAGGCACTATAACTAATGCAAATACATTCACAGTCTTAACTGTAGTCAGGATGTGTGTATGTGTGTGTGTGTGTGTGTGTCTGTGTATGTATGTGTGTGTGTATATGCGTATGTATGTGTGTGTGTATATGTGTGTGTATCTATGTATGTATATATATGCATATGTGTATGAATGTATGTGTCTGTGTGCGTATGCGAGCGTGTGTGTGTGCGTGTGAGCGTGCGTGTGTTTGCATGTGTGTGTATGTGTGTGCATGTGTGTATGTCTATGTGTATGTAGATATGTATATATTTGTGTTATTGTATGTATGTATATGTGCGTGCTGGTTTGTTTGTTTTGGGACGTTCTCTATGTTCAGTGCGCTGTGTGCGAGCACTTGTGCATTCACTCCACCACGACTCGGTAGCCGGGATAACAGAGGAATAGCTGTATGAAGGAATTACGATACGATTTTCAAAGTGTTATTGCGTTGTGAGAATGTACAAAGGAACTACTGTATGAAGGGAAACGTGTTGAGACAAAATGAGGACGTGTTACGGTTCGCGTCTGATTGCCTGTGATCTGGACGGGTCTGATCTGATCGGGTTGCCCCTAATTGCGTTGCTCGCGCTGTCCAATTGGTTTCGTCGAAGTTTCTATGACGGTGTGTAGCAAGCGTTCCACATGCTCCTGACAATTTCGTGTCTAGTTTGGCGAGGGCGAAGGCCACAACAAGGATCTAGCGAGGCCTTGAAATTTCGCGTAAACATGTGTGCAGGGGCATGTTCTTGCCACGGTGGTTGTTTGAGCGAGGGCTTCACGAAAATCAGCACAGTGCTGTTACTTTTTGCTAGCTTCGCTTGGTACTCCAAACCAATGCAATCAACTGATCGTCGGTGATTGTGTGGGATTGCGTTTGATCGGCTTGTTTTAGGCGGTTGATCGAGTTGGGGCGATCAATTGATCGCGCTCAAGTGATTGCCCCCGATTGCCTGAAATCGCCCCCTTAGCTTCCTGGAGGTTGTTGATCGTCTCTGATCGGAGCAATGAGAGGCGAACCGTGACACGTCCTGAATTCACATGCTACACGGAGGAAATCACTGCTCCGATGTATGTGCCAATTCACGCGTTTCCGTGTTTGGGGCAGCTGATCTGTTCATTCAGCATCAACCTTCGGTACTTGCGACACCAGGGTGGAGTGGAGCAGCTCTCATCCAGATTTACCTCGAATTGTGAAAATATCCACCCCTCATTTGCCTGGAGGTGGGAAGGAAGGAACTCGGTCAGGGAAAGTTTTTGCTGCAAATATGATGCGCCCAGCTACCGTACACCCTAATTTTGGTTTCTGATGTTTCAAGATGGACCAAGGCAGTGACCCAAGTTTCCCAAGCTGTTCCCAGGCTCGGCTATTGTGGCTCTCCATTCTCCCAGCCTCGGTTCCCGAAGCCACCAGCTGCGTGAACGAAACCAGAATGGCCAGGCACTACTGTACAGTACAGTTGTGGTCTGCCGAGGGGAACCACACAGACTCAAATGTCCTGTGGCATGCCAGTGGGAAGTCCACCTCGCTCGAATCGAACCCATGGAGCAAAACGACAGACGGACGTTTCTTGCCATGCTTTCCGATGGGTTGCGTCTGAGCCAATCGGTGAAGTTTCTCACGTCCCACATGTTCAGTGGTCCCTCCATCCATGCAATCGATAACGACAAAGTCAGCCCTGCTGAGTTGAGTGCGTGCCCCTTTCTGTCATCACTGCCTGCCTGCCTGCCTCCCTCCCTGCCTGCCTGCCTGCCTCCCTCCCTGCCTGCCTGCCTGCCTCCCTCCCTGCCTGCCTGCCTGCCTGCCTGTGATTCGACCCACCCACCACCACCACCTCCCAACCCATCCCAACTCAATCCCCTCCACGTGCTCATTCAAGAGTCAACATAAACAGCCGAGTCCATTTGCTTGTTGAGTTGAGGAACCGAGCATCAAATTCCACCTTGTTTCAGAACGTTGGGCTATTTTGGGAGACGCTTGAGCGACCAAAAGCTTGGCAAGGCAGTAAGCTTTGCTGCTTTTGACGTCCTACCTGGTCAACTTTGAGATGGCTGGACGGCCGCTATCCCCGTTTGCGATGAACGACGCGCAGCAGCCTGCTATAAATCCCGCGTCCGTCGTCGCCTCAAGCCATCACGGCGGATCTCTTTCGACGATTCAGCAGCAAGCGTTGACGTCCGCGCTTATCCAGCACATGCAACAACAGCAACTACAACAACAGCAGCAGCAGCTTCTGCGACAGCTTCAGCTGCAGCAGCAAACCCACCCGCCGCAGCTTGCGGGAATTGAAGACCCCCAGCCTCTCGGTGTCTCGCTACAGCTCTTCCCTTCCGCGCCGCCAGCGTCTCCGGGGAACGATGCGGAACTCCCCCGCGGCGGAGATGCGCGCGCCACTGAGCCCGACCTGCGCCTCAGCGTAGGCTTGTCGCTCGGCGGCGGCGTGTCGGCGGCGGTTGAAGTCTGCGCTAACCAGCCAGCGAAACGGAAGAGAGCAGATGAGGTACGATTGTTATATTGCAACAAATCACGCGAGCCATGGTTCGTGTTTTATGCGTCCGTATCGTCCGCTTAGTCGAGTCCTTCGTCTTCAGTCGTTTTCAAGCGTTTGTTCTTTCTCCAGCCTCTTGCGTGTCGATCGACCCGCGCTTTTCAATTCGATACTTTCCTCCCGTTCGCGTCGCCGCGTGTACCTCCGCCTGATCTCGTCCTCTTTAACTCGTTTTATTCCGCGCAGTTTCCTCGCGCACAAACTCCCGAGAGCTCAGGGGAGAACAGCAATCTGGACACCGCGGCCCCGCCTCCGCCCCCCGCCGCGCCGCGCCCCCTCTTCGCCTTTCCCCCTGTTGGCGCCGCTTCCGCCTCCCCGCATTGGTTGGCGACGGTCCCTCCCGCCAATACCGCGCACAAAACCGCGCCCCGCGCCCACCAGTCCCCCCATCATGCTGGTGGCGCAGCGCTACCCGCCACTCCTTCCGCGGACGACGTCCCAGGCGGAGGATGGATGGGCGCGGGGGGAGATCGTCGCGTCCCGTCCGGCGCGGGTTCCCCTGTGGAGGGACGCGCTGGCGGATTGAGCGGGACTGGAAGCGCGGGAGGATCTGGAGGGGAGCAGGAAGAGGGATTGGACGCGCAGGAAGCTGGGGGGAAGTCGTCCCGGCCGCGGACTGTTGCAGAGAGGAAGCGACGAAATGGAATTAGGTAAGCGTTGTGGGACTCACGCTGACCAAAGCAACATCGTAAATTACTTGCCCGGTTGTTTGTTGCATGCAGGAGTCTGCTTGTTGTGGTTTTCATAGTTCCTTCTTGTCTCAAGTCTATGTCTCTTTTTGGTGGTGGTGTTTGGGTGAATGTGCAGCGTGAAGCTAGAGCAGCTGAAGAGGGCCATACCCCAGTGTAACACACGGGTGACGACGGAAGCCCTTCTTTGTGAAACTTTGACTTACATCCAAGCACTCAAGGCCAAGGTTGAGGTGCTTCAAGCAGAAAAGGCTGAACTTCTTTCCCAAGCATTAGGAAGGCAAGTGCAAGGTCATTAGAGATATGTAAGGGAATGTAATTTATTAGTGAAATAAAGAAGTTGTTCGTTCGTTTAACGAAGTATTAATATCTACACTGAACTACAAAGTGTACCTGATCATACCAGGCATTGCGCCAGAGGATTGCACATGCAATTTCAAACAACGTGCGCAGCGGGTTCAGCTTTGGTATGGCAAATGATTCGGTCAAGTTCGGTGTACGATGGAACTGCCTCGGCAACTCTGTTTGGCTGAAAGAACTCAATGTGTAGTCAAAAGGGCAGTCTCCAGCTGTCATGGTGACGTGGTTTCACCCTGTCGCCAAAAGTCCTCGCAAGGGGGGCAGTCTGCCATCTGAGCTGGCAGCCTGACACGTGCATCAGCTTGTTATCCAGCAAGCACCAGCTCACGCTGCACAGAGATCGCATCCACAAGATTTTCCACCGTTCATTTCAAGAACCTGGGAAGTCCCAGTGGGTTATGTCCCAGTGGGTTATGTACATTTCTGCCCACCGTTCATTCCCAAGGCTTCCCTCCCCCCAAATTCCCCCTGTCCTTCGATTTCTTGGCAAGGCGATTTCAAAGCTGCCCCTTCTGCTTCCGCATCCGCTTCCGCTTCCTCTTCCGCTTCCGCTTCCTCTTCCGCTTCCGCCTACCCTCCACATCCTTTCTCGAGAACTCATTTTCCCCTCATCAACAATCATTTCGGTTCATTCGTCAGCCCGTAGTATCCGAGCCGTGAAGCAGCCAAGGTATTGCCGTCGCCCTTGACCTCCAAGTTCTGTGCGCTTCGTGCCTACAATACCGCGGCTTTTCCGACCTGAAAAGCGCTATGGCGGCGTTCGTGGGAGCAGCTGCCGTTGCGGCTCCAGTGCAGGTCCCTACTGTAAAGCAACTATCCGCAGGGCCCAGTAGCAGCAGGAGCAGCAGCGTTTCAGCTCGCGCTGCCGTGCCTAAGAAGCTCGGCTCCGAACTTTTGGGAACGCAGCTTTCTGCTACGTCAAGCGTGCAAGCAGCTTCGCAGAATGTTCGCGCGCGGTCGGTGGAGGTCCGAGCCGTGGCGACGGAAGCACCCACGAAGATGTCGAGAGTCGTGAAGTGGGATCAGGAAAAGAGACTGCAGGTGAGGACTGAATCTTAGTAATTTTGAATTGCTCAAAAGTGGATGTAGGGGAACGTTAGCGGCCGAAATGAGACTAGAGGATATTTCCAACCTTGCTGACGTTTTCATACTAGTTAACAGCAGGTATTTTTTAAGCTTTGATTTGTCTGCTTACACTCCCCGAGCTCGTCTATTTCAATAAGCGAATGTCGATGTGCTCACCTGCTCATGTGTGTTCAGACCCCTGCAGCCTGAAGCCATTCCCTTTTCCATGTTCCTTGTAATCCTCATGCATGCGCAATTTCAAATGTGTTCGACACTCACAAATTCCACCTACAGACCCAGACAACCACCATCGCTGCGGATACGACCACCATTCGCTCTCTCGACTGGGACCGCGACCGTTTTGATATGTACGTCGCCCTGTGTTATCTGTGTGTACGACCGTGGCCGTTTCCATGTCCGTCTGTGATTCTAGGCAGTCTGTATTCTTGTAGGTCACTCGTCATTGTCACACATGTGTGCCTGCGTATACAAGCACACATAGCACATTTGGACTTGCTCCAAGACACACTATGTTTGAAGGAACTCAGTATGTACACATGTGCAACATGACTCACATGCACCGCTCCTCCGGTTTCATGTGTCCTCCTCTTCCCCCACCCCTCCATCCCGCTCCTCCCCTCTCCGTGCAGCGAATTCGGCCTTCTCAAGGGTACCACCTACAACTCCTTCCTGATGCGCGGCGACTTGAGAATCATCTGACTCAAATGCCACCTTCCCCACCCCCTCGTCCCCCCTGTCTCCCCTCTTCTCTCTCCGTGCAGCGAGTTCGGTCTCCTCAAGGGTACCACCTACAACTCCTTCCTAATCCGCGGCGCCAACAAGGTCGCTCTGATCGACGCGTCGCACGAGAAGTTCCGCGAGCTCTACCTCTCCGCGCTTAAAGCCGAGATCGACATTAAAGACATCGATTACGTCATCGCGAACCACACAGAACCGGACCACAGCGGTCTGATCCGAGACCTAATCGAGCTAAATCCGAACATAACCGTCGTCGGGTCGAAAGTGTGCATTATGTTCCTGCAGAATCTAGTCTTGAAGCCGTTTAAGAGCCTCGTGGCGCAGCCGGGAAAGATTCTGGATCTGGGCGGCGGCCACGAGCTGGATTTTATCATGGCGCCGAACCTGCACTGGCCTGATACCATGTTCACATTCGATAAAGGCACGGGCGTTATGTTCACGTGCGACGCGTTCGGCAGCCACTACTGCTCCGAGAAGGTGCGCGGCTTCGCAGAGGGTGGGGAACGGTGGGGGAAATGGGGAAGGTTCAAGCGGGGAACGTGGGGGAAGGTGGGGAGAAGAGGGGAACGCGGTCACAGAGTGAGGAGTCGCATTACTCCTATCATCTCCACATCCCTTCTCTCTGCATGGCCTTCCTCCCACTGCCGCAATCCCTTACCCCCTCCCTCCCGTTGTCCCCCCTTGCCTGCATGCGCGCGCATGAGTCACTGAGCGAGCTGGAGCCGCACTGCTGATTCTATAAACTCCACATCCCTTCTCTCTGCTTAGCCTACTGTTTATGTGCGACTCACTCCCCCCACATCCCCCCTCACCTTCCCTCTACCCCCCTGTGCTGGCATGCGCGCCGTCGCCAGGTGTACGACGAGGATTTGAGCGAGCTGGAGCAGCACTACCGCTTCTATCACCGCACTACCGCTTCTATCACCTCTCTGCATCACCTTCTTCTTACCGTGGCTGCTTCGTTCCTTACTGTGCCTGCTTCTCCCCTCCCCTTACCTCCCCCCCTCCCTGCTTGCATGCCAGGTGTACGACGAGGATCTGAGCGAGTTGGAGCCGCACTACCGCTTCTACTACGACTGCCTCATGAAGCCCAACTCGCGCTCCGTCCTCACCGCGCTCCGCAAGGTGCGTGCCTCCACCGCTACGCACCGCTCTGCATCGTTCTCGGTTGACAATCACATACCACTTCCTCCCTCTCTCTCCCCTCACCTCCATCCCCTCTTTCCCACCTATTAAGGAACAGATCGTTCGACACAGCCCTACAACGTGTCCCCACTGCCCCATATGCGCACCCCCGTGTCCCCTTCCCCTTTCCATGCCCATCTCATTGCTATCCCCATCCTGATCCCCATCCTCCTCCCCCTCCCCACCCATTCTCCTGGCTCTTTTCCTCAACATTCCCTTTTCTCATCCCCCTATCCCTCCCCTTCCTTATCTTCCCCCTCTACATACCAATTTCTTCCAACCCCGTACGCTTGGCCGCCCGGCAGGTCGCCAGTGCGGGGTGGGAGTTCTCGGAGATAGCAGTGGGGCACGGCCCTCTGCTGCGCTACAACGTGCCTGACTGACCACACATGCCCTTCCCATACCTGTTCCCTTCCCTTCACTTCCTACTCCTCCACGCAGGTCGCCAGTGCGGGGTGGGAGTTCTCGGAGATAGCAGTGGGGCACGGCCCTCTGCTGCGCTACAACGTGCCAGAGCTCACGCTCAAGTACGAGCAGTGGAGCAAGGCCGCCATCGAGAAGCAGAAGGTACGATACAAACTCACTGCATGTGGGCACTCCCTTCCCCCCTCCTCCCTGCCTCTTCCTCCCACTGTGCCCCTCTCCCCTTCCCCCCCTCCTTCCCGCGCCCTGCCTTTTCCCCTTGCCCTGTCTTCCCCCCACCCACCCCATCTCAAAGCGTCATCTGTTTTCCCCACCTGCAACTCCCTTCACCCCGTCCATAGCGGTGCTGTACGTGAGCGACTACGGGTACAGCGACCGCCTGTCGCAGAGCGTGGCGAGGGGCATCACCATTTTTCTCCTCGTCTGTGCACCCTCTCTTCCCCCGCCCTCCTCCCCCCTCTTCCCAGTCGTCCATAGCAGTGCTGTACGTGAGCGACTACGGGTACAGCGACCGTCTCTCTCAGAGCATCACCTGTTTCCCCTATCTGCAACTCCCTTCACCCGCCCCCAACCCAACCCCGCCCCCGCCTACCCTCTCAGTCGTCCATAGCGGTGCTGTATGTGAGCGACTACGGGTACAGCGACCGCCTCTCACAGTGCATCGCGCGCGGCATCACCAAGGCGGGGGCGGGCGTGGAGATGATGGACCTCAAGGCCTCCGACACACAGGAGCTCGTGGAGTGCATCGGCCGCAACGCCGCTGTCGTGCTCATGATGCCCCCCACCTCCGGTCCTGCTGCCGCTGCTGTCGCACCCCTGGTTGCTGGGATCAAGACGAAGCAGGTGGGTGTGAGAGGGGGAGGAGGCGGGGGGGGTGGGGGGGGGGGTGGAAGAGGGGAGAGGGAGGGGGAAACAGGTGGGTGGGAGGGGAAGAGGGGCGGGCGTGGAGATGATGGACCTCAAGGCCTCCGACACGCAGGAGCTCGTGGAGTGCATCGGCCGCAACGCCACTGTCGTGCTCATGATGCCCCCCACCTCCGGCCCTGCCTCCGCTGCCGTCGCGCCTCTTGTCGCTGGCATCAAAACCAAGCAGGTGGGTGTGAGAGGAGGAGGGGGGGAGGCGGTGGTTGGAAAAGGGGAGAGGGAGGGGAAAAACAGGTGGGCGGGAGGGAAAAGGGGGCGGGCGTGGAGATGATGGACCTCAAGGCCTCCGACACTCAGGAGCTCGTGGAGTGCATCGGCCGCAACGCTGCTGTCGTGCTCATGATGCCCCCCACCTCCGGCCCTGCCGCTGCTGCTGTCGCACCCCTGGTGGCTGGGATCAAGACCAAGCAGGTAAGCAGGGGGGATGGGTGGGTGACATGACATGGTGCTCATGGGGAGGAGGGCGGAGATGAGCCGCTGTGGTGCTCATGATGACCCTCACCATGTCCCGCTGCTGCACCTGTCGTCCTGCTACTGTCCTGCTACGGGGTGGGGAGGTGTGAACTCCCGTGGTGCTTGTGATGGGATGCCTCACATCACCTGGTAACGGAGATGTCCAGTGCAAGAATCTGCTCCCCCTCGCCCCCACTCGTTCTTCCCCCCTCGTTCTCCCTCACCCCCCATCATTTCCCCCTCCCACCAGTCCGTGCTCCTGTGCGAGCCGTACGGAGGGGACGATGAGCCGGTGGACACGCTGCTGCGCAAGTTTCCCGACTGCTGTGAATCCTTTCGCTCATTTTGCCCCGTTATCCCCTTGTGCCCTTGTTGTCCCCACGCAGTCCGTGCTCCTGTGTGAGTCGTACGGAGGGGATGACGAGCCGATCGACACGCTGATGTACAAGTTCAATGACCGCGGAGTCAAGATGCCCCTTGAGCCCCTTCGCATCAAGGAGCCGCCCACTGAAGCTGTGTGAGTGATCAGAGAGAGGGAGTGCGGTGTGGTTGTAGTGTAGTGATCGGATGGAGTTTATGACCTTTCAGTTTCGGATGGGATGGGCTGTAGTTGTAGTGTCCTTTCAGGCTCTTCAAAAGTTTCCGACCGTTGTGTCAAGATGCCTCTGGAGCCGAAAGACCTTCCATGTGAGTGAGAGAAGAGGGACTGTAGTGCAGTGGGGGGCTGTAGAGCAGTGAGGGGATGTATTACTGTGGGTGGTTGCATTACAGTGCGTGGGTTGAGAGGGCAGGCATGCCACTAAACGCTTCCATCCAACGAGGTGACTTTTGAGTCGACTCAAAAGTCATCTGTGGGTGGTTGTATTACAGTGCGTGGGTTGAGAAGGCAGGGCAGGCATGCCCCTAAACCCTTCCATCCCCTCCCCTGTCGCAACACCCACCCCCCCTCCTCCCCTCTCTTGTAACCCACTCGCATCGCAGCTACCAGCTGTTTGGGGAGGCGGGCACCGACTTGGGGCAGGGGCTGACACAAGAGGTGGTGAGGGATGAGACGAGGCACAGCATGCCTCTGGCCGTCTTGAAAGTCCCCCCTACCGCTCTCCCCCCTCCCTCCGATACCCTCTGGCTCCCTGTGTTCACAGCTACCAGCTGTTTGAGGAGGCAGGCACGGATCTGGGGCAGGGGCTGACGCAGAAGGCGGTGAGGGATGAGACGAGGCGCAGCATCCCCCTGGCCGTCTCATAAGTCCATGTCCCTCCCTCCCCTCCGTTCGCAGCTACCAGCTGTTTGAGGAGGCGGGCACTGACTTGGGGCAGGGGCTGACGCAGAAGGCGGTGAGGGATGAGACGAGGCGCAGCATGCCCCTGGCCGTCTCATAAGTCCCTGTCCCTCCCTCCCCCCCGTTCACAGCTACCAGCTGTTTGAGGAGGCGGGCACTGACTTGGGGCAGGGGCTGACACAGAAGGCGGTGAGGGATGAGACGAGGCGCAGCATGCCCCTGGCGGTGGCGAAGGCCATTGCACGCGTGTCAGGAGGGCTGTACGTGGTGACTGCAATCAAAGGGGCGTCCAAGGGTGCTATGATCGCCTCCTGGGTCTCCCAGGTGCGTGGGTGTGCATGTGGTTGGATATGTGTCTGCCTGTGGGGTTGCATGTGTGGGTGTGTGTATCAGGGGGGCTGTACGTGGTGACTGCAATCAAAGGGGCGTCCAAGGGTGCTATGATCGCCTCCTGGGTCTCCCAGGTGCGTGGGTGTGCATGTGGTTGGATATGTGTCTGCCTGTGGGGTTGCATGTGTGGGTGTGTGTATCAGGGGGGCTGTACGTGGTGACTGCAATCAAAGGGGCGTCCAAGGGTGCTATGATCGCCTCCTGGGTCTCCCAGGTGCGTGCTGTTTGTGTGTGGGGGCACGGGTGGGCATGCGTGTGGGTGTGCGTGTGGGGAGGGGGGAGTGGGTGTGCACTAGAGGTTGTGTGTCGGGGGGACTGTACGTGGTGACTGCAATCAAAGGGGCGTCCAAGGGTGCTATGATCGCCTCCTGGGTCTCCCAGGTGCGTGCTGTGTGTGTGGATACCTGTGTGCATGTGGGGTTCCGTGTGAGGGTGCGTGTCAGGAGGGCTGTATGTGGTGTCAGCATGCCGCTGGTGGTGGCGAAGGCCATTGCACGCGTGTCGGGAGGGGGGCTGTATGTCGTCATGGCCTCCAAAGGTTCCTCCAGAAGGGCTATGATTGCTTCCTTAATCTCCCAGGTGCGTGCTTTCTGTGTGTGTGTGCCATGGGTGGTGGAAGTGCGTGGGTGGGGGAAAGAGAAAGAGAAGTCGCCGGAATGGGTGAGGGGGGAGGCTGCGTTTCTGCTGTGTGTGCGTGTGTCTTCACGTCCACCCACTCAACCTCACCTATCCGCCTCCAATACGCTCCCACGTCTCCCTGCTCTCTCCCCGCCCACAGGCGAGTTTCAAGCCACTGGGCATCACCATTGCTGTTGCCAAGGACAGAGCCATTGAGTCGCTCATGCAGGTGAGGGTTGAGCGGTGCATATGGGCTTTAAGCGCGGATCCTTGGGTGCCGAGGTGTGGAGTGTGGTATCTGCTGTTGCCTAGGACCAGAGCCATTGAGTCGCTCATGCAGTCGAGGGTGCATAGGAGCTTCAGGAGTGGGTTGCATGGGGGTGCAGTGGGGTGGGGTGGGATGGGCTGGCCTGAGCTGGCCTGGGCTGGGGTGGGTTCGGGTGGGGTGGGGTGGGCGGCGGTTAACTCTGGTGGGAAGTGTCGTTCGTCCACTCTTGCAGGTGAGGTGTCACAGCAAGTGGTTTAGATTAATGGTTTTACGTTACACACTAACTCGGCGGATATACTTGAGCATACAAGAGGATACTCCAGTTGCATTGTGCCCTCCTCAATCTCAGTCAAGTTTTATGCATGCTTGCCCAATCTCATTCTTCTAGACCTCACCGCCCTGTTTCATGTTATCCATTTACACCACTCCCTACCCGATCCCTCTGCACACAGGTGGGAGACTCCTTTGTGCTCAACTGCCTTGAGGAGGGCAACTTCGCTCCTCTCATGAAGCACTTCCTCAAGCGCTTCCCCCCTGGCGGTGAGTGTCGCTCCTCCACACCAAAACTTCTATTCTTCCTTCTCTCTCACCCATTCTCTTGGGCGGTTTCTTGTTTGGGTAGCCAACACAGAAATGGAGATGACTGTTGGCAGTGTAAGCAGTGAAAGCTTGACGTATTAATCCTAGTACCTCTGCCCCTGCCATGTCTCGACTCCCCTGCCATGTCATCCCTTTCTGGTCCACCAGCTGATCGCTTCGAGGGCGTTGACTGGGACCCGGCCAGCAACGGGTCGCCTGTGCTGGCAGGATCCCTGGCGTTCCTGGAGTGCACTGTGGTGAGCCGCATGGAAACCAACGACCACTGGATCACTTATGCTGAGGTCACTGCAGGGAAGGTGTCTAAGCCTGAGGGCCGCACTGCTTCTCACCACCGCAAGCTGGGCGATTATTATTAAACAAGCCTAGGAGATATGAGGTTGGCACCTGAGATATGTAAATTGCAGTGTGAAATTGGTTTGTACATCTTTGAGGAACTAGTGTATTGTTGCAAAGTGTATTACGGGAATAATTACATGTTTATCAGAAGCTGGAAGTTATTAGTTAATGCACACCAAAAAATGATAATGAACAATCTTAAATTTAACATGCTAGGCATACATAAGGTCTAAATCGCACAAAACACACATGAAACTTCCTATGCACAACACACAAACAAACCAAAAAACCCTAACCTAAATTTCGGCTCAGGAGCGTGTGCTACGCCGACATCCAAGAATGGTATGTACAGCGGCGGAGTCTGGCGAAGCACATGCTTTCTGAAAGTCCAGTAGCGTTCAACCCTATGCCTATGTGCATTGGCTGTTACGTTAGCTCCTCTCATGTGATCGACGCGTCAGTCACATTTTGCAGCTTCTTCTTCGTCGTTAACCGAATCAGGAGATTCGCCACAGCTCCAGACATTGTAGTACTTTGCCAGCGCACTCCTCCTCGGCGGCTATTCTCCTCTGACGACTCGCCATTCTCGCTGCTGGAGAAAACGCCTTTTTATTGTACTCTCGGAAAAAAACGGGATTTTCTTTCTCAAGAGCATTCCACACTGCAAGAACAAGAAAGGCACAGACGACGATATCGTGAGCCATGGTACGCATTAAAATGCAGACTCGTTCGAACTCGTTGCAAAATACTTACCAGCAAGGGTTATGGCCGGCTTGATCCTCGCACTTCTGGCGAGACTCACAATGCATTCGGCTTGACTCAGTTCCAGAACCAGACACCGCTCTATTAAGTGCTGAATCTGTGATACAAGTTCGAAGACGACAGCTGTCAGGGCCGAGCATTGAGAAACTATAAATCGTGGCTTCAGAAACGTAACTGTAATGAAACCGAGCGTACCATAAGGACGTATGTGCCAAAGTCCTCTTTGGGGGAGGGACAGGCGTTAGAAGGCACGGCATTCTCAGTAACTACATCCATTGAGTAGGATTACAGCACAGCAGGCAGTGTCTGAACAATTGAGGTACGGATGAAACTGAAGTCGAAGGAGTCAAAACTATCTACAAGCCTGGTTCAGCACGAAACGCTGCTTTGATGTGAGGGAAAGTGTTGCTGGTGTTGCTTCCCTTTCTTCCCATCCCAGTCAGGGCTGTCGATAGGTCTGGGTCCAACCCGTACAAAGCTGAGCTGTCCCGAAAACAACCCTGAAATATCCGGGAAGCGGACGAATCCGGCCCTTAGATTCAGGGCATTCTAATTCGGGCTCTGAGCTACATGCGTTTAAAAAGCGAAGTTATTCGAGATAGACATACACTAGTGAGCAGAGCAAGCTAGGGGAGCGGGTGGGGGCTGGTGTTCTTCGGAGGAGGGGGATAGGGACAAGTTCGCCGTCTAAGTTCAGGAAGAAAGGAAGGGGGAAGGGGGGGGCAGGACAGGAAATCCGGGACCCCCCCCCCCCGAAACCTGTCCGTTTGGAATCCGGGCCGGGACAAAACCAGCCCTGAAAATCTCCGAGCTGAGCTGAAACCAACCCTGAATTTTCAGGGAAAACGGACAAATGTCCGTGAATCGACAGGCCTGATCCCAGCCCACCCACTCAGAGGGCGAGTCGTCGTGACGAGGAAGAAAGTTCAAGCAGATCGCCCTTTTTCACGCATTGCTGCCGCAATATCTCCAGCAAATTGGATCTGACGAATGAGAGAGCGGCCCTCCAATCGCGTGGATAAGAGGTTCAAGGGAGTTCACTAACAGTTGTTTCCACGGAGTGAATCTTTTGCTCGGGTGACCCCTCCTTCCATTTGTTGAAAGAGATGGGGTGGTGGCGACGTAGTCAGCCACACACTATCCAGGTGTCCACGTTGGACACTACGGCGTCACGCTGTGTCACGAAGGACCACCAACCAACCAGGCCTCCCCTGAATTTCTGGGTTCCCCCTTTTCACGCAGCCTGGCCTTGGCTGCTGGTGCAAGGAACATGGTAATGAAGTACAGTAATGTCGCCAAGCGACACAGACACAAGGGAAGGAACAACACAGGGGTACACATGATGCCCAACCACTGCGCGCGAATTTGCCTTGTACATTTCAGAAACTCTGCACCCGTGCTTTTTTTCCCGGTCAGTTGCACCCAGGGTATAGGCACGCGGATCAACTTGCATTTGGGCGAGAAAACGCCAAATTATGAATCTTAGGCGCAAAACAAACGATGCTGACCCGGTTTGTTCTTGTTTCTTGGCCAGAAAAGAGCATAAACCCTAAACCCTGAACTAACAACAACACAGGCCCACCAGCACTGTTTTGGAAAAATCAAACGAGTTACAACCTGTGTTTTTTAGAAGCACCTCAACACCCTGGCGAAAGGGAACGAACTGGGCGAAATGCCCAAAACGTTTATAGTCCCAGAGCAAACCCCAAGTGGGGGAGACTCAAACGGGCATCAGGTGTAGTAGAAAGTTGGACCCATGACCTCTGGGAGAATGAGGTTTCGCATCCCCTATCTGGCCACTCTAGCACTTAAAGCCCGAGTCTAGAATGGTAAGGCTTCAAGAATACTGAACTTGAAAGGTGTTGGGAAAGCGACGGAATGGGCAAGCGATGGTGATGTGAAGGCCAGCGACATGATGGGAGAGCGTGGGAGACACTCGGAGTAAGCGTGGGTGTTGAAGAATCTTGAACTTGAAAAGGGGACGGGAGGGGAGGGGAGGCGAATTCAAGTTCAAGAATCTTGAACTTGAAAAGTTGCCATTCTAGACTCGGGCTTTAACGAATCCGAAACGAAGTGCTTAACAGATGTCAATAACCAGCCTGTTAATATAGGGCTGATGTAGCATAGATCAGTTTTTAGAGGGCATGTCCCTCATTGTAGTAGGGTTGACCTTCGTGCGTTGGTGGGTGTTTGCGCAAAGCAGCAGCTGCACATACAAAAAGGTTTGCAAACGTCCCGGATTCTAGTATTTTCTTCAGCCTATTCTCTTCTACTCCCATATTAAGACATTTCACAAGCCTTCTGACCCTCTGCCTGCAATTACTGTACCCAGTCTCCAGAAGGAATTAAACTACCTAACCGCGGTCAGGTTCGAATGTCCACATTGTCCACAGTGAGGCGTACACGCCTGCCTTCGTGGATCTGGATGAACGGCGTCAACTCACCTCACCCCCACCCTCACTGCGTGGCTCCGTACCGTTCAAACAAGAAACGGAAGAAGCATCCAGAGAACAGTCGTCCACGAGCATCTGCTGGGCTGAAAGATTTGCTTCACAATCAAGTTGGAGCTTGCACAGTGCAGTATTTAATGCACATTTAATGCTGGCGCCAAAGTGGGGTTGCGCACACACCAAGGGGGGACTTATGGAGACTGTTCCGTACTGTCATAACGGAAATATCAGCTTCACTTCAAGCCCGTACTTGAAAATGTTGCAGACTTGCGGACTAGGTATTGGCTAAATAAATTAGGTTTACCTCACGAGTCAGAAAAATCAATTTCTTATTTGCAACCATTGAAAATACCACAAATAGAAAATTATAGGTTAATGTATTGCGCAAGCTGCTCAGGACAAATGTATCTCACGAGCTCTTTGGGGGCCAATGGGCATATGGCCTTGGGATAGCCCATGTGCATGTGTCATGCTAACTCCATATGGCACTCCATGTTTCTGGGACATGCCAATCCCTAACCCCTTTCCTTTAACCCCTCCCCCTCCCCTTCCCCTTCCCCTCCCACCTCCTCTCCCTTCCAGCACCCCTTCCCCTTTCATCCCATTCTCTTGCTCTACTCTCTGCTTAGGTTGCCAAACACTCAATGCTCCTTTATAAGCATCCCCTGGATTCGCTAAAGGCTGGCCACCAGCAGTGGCACACCTCCTGATGTTGCCCACTCTCGGGCTGCAATTCCCATCACTGGCAGCTCGTTCCTTGGCACTGCTGTTGGGGCTGCTGCGAAACTTTTGAGGCGCCTCGAAATTCCCATCACTTGCGGCTCGTTCTTTAGCGCTGCTGCTGGGGCTGCTGCTGAAGCTACTGGCGATGCTGCTGCTGCTGATATTTCTGTTGACAGTAACGCGGAAATTCCCATCACTGGCAGCTCGTTCTTTAGCACTGCTGCTGGGGCTGCTGCTGCCGAACTTTTGAGGCGCCTTGAAATTCCAATCACTGGCAGCAGCCCGTTCCTTAGCACTGCCGCTGGGGCTGCTGCCAAAGCTACTGGCGATGCTGCTGCTGCTGGCAATACTGCCGCTGCCATACCTGGTGCACGCATTGTTGCCGCTGTTACTGGTGTTCACCATCCCTGCCAACCCCCTGCTGCTGCTGCTGCCGCCTATGCTCTTACTCTTCACCATCCTACCCGGAACAGCAGCACTGGGCACATCAGCAGCAAGAGCAGCACCGGCCAAATGACCAGAACTAGAGTCATAACTGCCAGACACGCCAGCTGCACCAGAAGCACAGGCACCAGCATCCGCAGCAGCAGCAGCAACACCACCGGCAGAACCGGCAGCAGTAGCAGGAGCAGGAGCAGGAGCAGTAGCTATGGCAGCAAGAGAACTGGCAGTGCGAGCAGAATAGCTCCCAAATCCACTGTTACCAATAACATGCCTGCTGCCATCCATGGGATTGCCGCCCATCGGATTGCCACCCATTAGATTGCCGCCCATCGGATTGCCGCCCATGGGATTGCCGCCCATAGGATTGCCACCCATAGGATTGCCACCCATAGGATTGCCACCCATCGGATTGCCATCCATCGGATTGCCACCCATCACATTGCCGCCAATCGAATTGCCACCCATCGGTTTGCCACCCAGTAGATTGCCGCCGATATGGTTGCCGCCCATTACATCGCCGCACATAGCACTGGCTCCCACACACTGTGTCCTGGTAGCTACGCTGCTGCTGCTGCTGCTGCTGCTGCTGCTGCTGGAGCAGCGGTCGAGCCAAGCAGCCGCATGGGACATTGAAGAAAGAGTCCCAATCGGGGATCTTTGAGACGCCTCAACGGCACCATGGCACACCATTGAAGGAAGTGCCCCCATTGACGGGCTCTTCCTGTGCCCTCTCGCCCCCACACGCACCCTCCCTGCTGCTCCACTCCTCCCCGCTCCCGCTCCGTGCCCTGATGCTGCTTCTTCCCCTGCTGCTTCCCCGCTCCTTGCTGCTCCCGCCACTGCTCCACCCTCCATTCCACCAAAAGCACGTGACCCGCACGCCTCTCTCCCCACAGCCCCAACCCTAGATTCCCCAGCAGCACCTTCTCTCCCAGCTCTAAACGGCACAGCTCTAGATACACCTGCACCAGATACAGCCTGTTTTGGAGACGTCTCAAATGCACGCAAATTTGCTCTTCCAGTCCCTCCTCCCATCCTGGCAGCACCAGCCGAAAACAAAGTCCCTGCAGCCGTGTTACAGCTAGTTGGGCTGATGCTTCTTCTGCTGTTACTGCTGCTGTTGGTGTTGGTGCTGTGGCTGTTGCTGTTGCCTGAAGTGAGAGTTCGGCTGCGTGCATTGGTTGTACGGCTGCGGGTGATGGCACCAGGGGATTCCAGAGCGGTGCAGCTCGGTTGGAGGGGTAGGGGTGCCGAAGGGGTGGAAGAGAACGAGCGGTGGAGAGGCGAGGGGTAGTGTGGGGGGCGGAACGGGGAGCGGTGGAGTGAGGGCGAGGAGGAGTGGGGGGAGGAGTGTGCAGAGGATGAGGTAGAGTGAGGGGAAGAGAAGAGGGCGTGAGGGGAAGAGGAGTGAGCGTGAGGGGAATTGTGCGGGGAGGAGTGAGGGAGAGCATGCGGTGTAGTGTGGTGCAAAGCAGCACGATGGAAGGAGGAGAGAGCGGGATTGGGAGATGCGGAGGGATAGCCGGGCATGCGAACAAGAGGAAGAGGAGAAGACTGATAAGAAACGGCTGCGACAGGTGCACCTCCTGTTGCCGCTGCTGCTGTAGCCTGATAAGAACCTGCAGCAGCTACAGCGGCAGCGGCAACAGGAGGTGCACCTGTCGCAGCACCAGCAGCGGCAGTGTCAGCAAGAGTGGCAGCAGTGCTGGCAGAGAGGGGTACACTCTTGATGGCGCTTGCAGCGTTGCACGCTGAGACACTCTTAAATGGGGTGGCAGGTGCAGAAGTGCTGACAGGGGCGGCAGGGGTGCGAGAGGTGCCAGGGGTGGCAGGGGTGGCAGGCGTGGCAGGTACAGTGGGTACAGAAGGTGCAGCATCTCGCACTGTGTGGTTCGGGTCAACAGCAGCAGGAGGAGCAGTGCGGGTGCCGACAGCAGTGCTGGTTCCAACAGGACTCTCATCAGCCTGAGACGCCCACACCGTTTCCCTGAGATCCAGAGACAGAGACATGCGCCGCCGCACCCTCTCCCTCTGCTGCTGCCCCTGCCTTTGCTGCTGCTGCCAATGCTGCTGCTGGCGTTGCTGTTGTTGCTGCCCATGCTGCTTCCATCCCTGCTGCAGTTGCTGTAGATGTTGCTGCTGCTTCTGCTGCTGCTGTCCCTGCTGCTGCTGCATTTGCTGTTGTTGTTGCTGTTGCTGTTGCTGCTGCCCCTGCTGATGCTGTCTTTGCTGCTGCCATTGCTGTTGGTGCTGCTGACGATGCTGCGAGGTTGGAAGCTGCTTTGCAGGTCGGTGCGGTGAGGTTGAGTGCGGTGAGACTAACCGCGAAAAGGTTGAGTGTGGTGAGGTTGAGTGCGGTGCAGTGAGGTCACTGTCAGCAGACCCTTCCGGTTCGGTTGCCCACATCGTTTCTCTTAGATCAAGAGACAGGGACAAGAGACGTCGCACCCTGGGGTTGACACGCTGCTGCTGTGGCTGTTGCTGCTGCTGATGCTGATGCTGCTGCTGCTGCTGCTGCTGCTGCTGCCGCTGGTTCTGCTGTTGTGAAAGCTGTTGACGCTGCAGGATTGGCGCTTGTTGCGGGTTCACCTGTTGTTGCACGTAGCCCTGCCCCTGCGGGGACACCTGCGGGTTCACCTGCGGGTTCACCTGCGGGTTCACCTGGGGGTTCACCTGGGAGTTCACCTGCGGGTTCACCTGCGGGTTCACCTGCGGGTTCACCTGCGGGTTCACCTGTCTCACCTGCTGTTTCAGGCACCGCTTCTCACCAATCCCAACAGCTGCAGCTGCTCCTGACCTGGCCTTAAAGCCATGCTTCGGCGACGGAATAATGGCGGAACGAGGGGAAGGAGAGGGAGGCTGAGAGGAGCGGGAGAGAGAAGCGGGGGTAACGGGGAGCGAGGAGGAGGAGGGGAAGGGGGAGGAGGGGAGGGAGGGGGAGTGGGAGGAGGACAGGGGCTTGCAGGAGAAGGGGGGAAGCAGAGCGGAAGAGGAGTGGGAGCGAAGGGCCATGTGGGTCATGTGAGGCGAGTCGAAGGTCCTTAGGGGGGACGTTTGCGGTGTGGAGAGGGGGGACCTTAGAGAAGGATTCTGAGGAGTGTCGAAGGGAGAGGAGTGGGATTGGAGGGATGGGAGAGAGGACGAGTCAAAGGACGTGAGGGGGGAACGGGAGGGTTTGCGTGCGGTGCGAGGGGATTTTTGCGCTGCGTCACGTGGGGCGCGGGGGGACTTCGGGGGCGCGCCAGAGGTGGTACGGGGGGAGGGGGGGAGGAGAGCGGAGGACCGGGGAGAGGGGGGTTGAGAAGTGGGGGGGTGAGGGGAGGTGGGGGACGGACACGGGGGTTGAGGTGAAGGGGGTTGAGTAAAAAGGGGATGGGGCGAGGGGACGCGGGGAGAGCGCGGTTGGGATGACAAGGGGCGCGGGGAGCGGACTTGTGGAGAGGAGGAGCGGTTGTCAAAGGTACAGGGCTGGGAGGACGTGGTTGAAGGGTGTGGAGAGCGGTGCAAAGGGGAGCGCTGTGTAGGGGAGCGGGGAGAGAACTGCGCACTGGCGGAAAGGGCAGAACTCGCCCCCTGTGCTTCCGCACTGCCTCTGGCGCATTCCCCCTGCGCCTTATCTGCCCGTCCCGCTCTTCCCCTGGGCGCTACTTGCGCACTGGCAGGATAGGGGGAGCTCGCCCCCCCTGCTTCCGCGCTGCCCCTGGGGTAATCCCACTGCGCCCTACCCGTCCCTCCCCCTGGCCGGGGGGAAATCGCCCCCCCTGCTTCTGCGCTCCACCTGGGGTAATCCCACTGCGCCCTGTCCGCTCGCCCCCATCCCCTGGGAGACGCCTGCGCGCTGGCGGAACGGGGGGATCTTATGGCAGGCGGCGCACAGGTGGGGGGAGAGGGGCGGGGGGAGGTAAGCGGGGAGGCGGAAGGACAGGGGCGGGGAGAAGGGAGAGGAGAGGAGAGAGGAGAGGAGAAAGGAGGTGATGCCGCTGCTACTGCCGCTGCTGCTGCTGCAGCAGCAGCAGCCGTAGGTGCTGGTGCTGGCGGCGGTGCTGGTGCTGATGCTGGTGGTGGTGGTGCTGCTGCTGCTGCTGCTGCTGCTGCTTCACGCGTTTCAGCAGGCAAACCGTCGCGGTCTGAAGCAGCAGCTACAACAACGCTGGAAGAAGCAGGAGGGTCAGCAGCTTCACCGGTGCTAGCAGGAGCAGGGGGGGCAGCAGCAGGGGGGGCAGGAGCAGGGGGGGCAGCAGGCGAAGCAAGACGATTGGTAGACGGGGAATGCGGGGGAGAGTGCGGGGGAGAGTGCGGGGGAGAGTGCGTACCCAGCACAATCCCACCCAGCCGCAACTCGAAGCTCTCCAAGGCTCGACAAACCACCTCCTGGCAATCCTGCAGCACCCCTGCCAAGCCTGACGGACAGGCTCGGGGAGAGGAGGCGGCTTGGGAGGACGGTGGAGGCTGGGAAGAGGTGACGTGCTGGGTCGGGAGAGAGAGGGGTGTGTACGATCGGATCGGGTTGGTTCGGAAGGCGTTGGGTGTGGCATTGGAACGGGGTGAGAGATTAGGAGCAGGAACAGGCGAAGCAGCAGGAGCAGGAGCAGCAGAAGGAGCGGTTGGAGGAGAAGGAGAAGGAGCAAGTGCGTTGGCGGCAGTAGTAGCAGCAGTGGCAGTAGCGGCAGTTGCAGCGTTGGTTTTGGCAGAGAGAGAAGGGGGGGAAGAGGGGCAGGGGGAGCGCGGGGAGGAGGGGTTGGTGGAGGGGGGGGAGGCGGAGAAAGGAGAGGTGGGGGCGGAAGAGAAGGAGAAGGGGGAGGAGGCGGAGGAGGAGGGGAGAGAGTGGGGGGAGAAACCCATAGAGGGGGAGAGGGGGAGGGAGAGGGGCAGGGAGAGGGGGAAGGAGAGAGGGCTTTTGGGCGGCAGACATGACACTCGGCCAGCCTGGCATTTGTTTGTTGCGCCGCTGGTGCTGCCGCTAGTGCTGCTGCTGCCGCCGGTGCTGACGGTACTAACGGTGCTCCTGCTGCTGTTACTTGTGATCGTGATGGCGGTGGTGGTGGTGGTGGTGGTGATGCCGCTCCTGCTCTTGCTTTTGCTGCTGCTAGCACTGCTGCCACTGTTGCTGCCGCTGCTGCTGCTCGTGCTGCTGCGGGTGGTGCAGCTGCTGCCGCCCATCCCGTTGCTGGTGATGCTTGTAGCGCTGCCCGCGCTGCTGGTGCGGTTGAACAGCTGCGCGCATTCCGCCCACTCTCCCCCGCCGCCCGCACCTTCCCCGCCCGCTGCTCCCTTCGTTAAAATACTCAAAGCACCTCGCGTTCCTGTCCCTCCTCTCGCCACATCGACACCGCTCGCCACGTCGACGGCTCTAGCCACGTCGTCACCGTTCGCCACGTTTGCGACATTCCCGAAACCATGGCCTCTCCGATTGTCTGCCGCATTCCCAGCCAACGCTACAAGAGCAGAATCAGCACTACCAGCACCTCCACTGGCAACGGCACCAGCAGCAGCACCAGCAGCAGCACCAGCAGCAGCACCATCGGCACCCCTTGCACGGCTCCCGTTGCCGCCTCGCTTGCTGCTCCACCTACTGCTGCCGCTGCCACTGCCGCTGCCGCTGCTACTACCGCCCCCGTTACTGTCACTCCCGCTTGTAGACCTACAGACGCGCATTTCCGCGTCGCTTTTCCCCGCCACCCCTCCCTCCCCCTCATCTTGCGCACCGTCTCTCCTCTCCTTCCCTCCTCTTCCCCCGCCTCTCCCTCCCCTCTCCCCTCTGAATCCTCGTCCCCCTCGTCCTTTCCGCCCGCCTCCCCGTCCTCCGCCGCACCCTCCGCCAAACCCTCCGCTTCCGCCTCTTTCACCCGCATTGATTCCGCTGCCCACGTGTCCTCTGCGCCGCCGCCCTTCCTCTCCTTCCGCTCCCTCCGTGCTGCGCCGGCCGCTCTCCTCAACCTGAAACGCGCTCCGCACGTCGCGCATCTGCCGCGCATCCCGCTCCCCCGAATGTACCTCAGCTCGCGCCGATGACGTCTCCCCATCCCCCCCTCGTGCCGGCGCATGTGCGGAGAACGAGTCAGCGGACAGCATCGAACCTGGCGGCGCACGTGCGGAAAATTCCAACTCTGTGTTTGCGCATGCGGACAAATCTGAATCTGCCAGCGCACGTGAGGATGGCTCCAACGAGCCGGCCGTCCTTGTCGCGTTGCTCAAATACAGGCTATTCGGAACGACGCGACGCGAATTATGGGTGTAATCGTTCAGAGTCCCCATGTCGCCTCGCTAAAAAACCATCGCACGCAGGTTCCGTCGATGCGATGCCGTAGGCTGATGAGATTCGAGTCTGCTTAGAACAAATATCGACGGCGGCGACAAGTGCTTTTCAATATTCACGATATCCGGTTGAGCCGTCTCGTAAGCACCCGCGGCAGTGCAGTGAATTTCGGATTCTCGGGAGTCGCGGTTCCAATAATCGCGGTCTTGCGAATCGCTAACGCCCGGAGACACGAGCGGGGTAAAATCCATCGGCAGGGAAGTACTGGGGGCGGAAAATTACTCCCGGCCGGAAGAAATGACCGGACTTAGTCAGCGGACGTCGCAGCGCGTTCTGGCGGACGATTCTTTATGAAATGTTCCGCTTTCTTTATGAAATGGGCATTTTACGCCACGGCGAGCCGACTAAGTCTGACGATAATTTATAGATTAGGACGATCGAAGCAGGCTAGAGGACTCGTCAAACCCTAATTGTCTGATACGTAGTTAACGAGAGGCAAGAAGATGTCACCGAGCCTTGTGAGGTGGTTTAGAGGGATGCTCGCGACGCGACAACTGGATGACGGCAGCGCACACCATTGTGGCGGGGGCGCGGGCAGGACACTGGCATTGTCTCCTCCACTGCTCTCACTCTCAACTCATTCTGTTGCTGCTGCATTTCCCGCTGGCGATGCAGCTGCTGCTCCTGCTTTTCCTGCTGCTGCTCCTGCTGCTCCTGCTACTCTTGCTGCTTTTCCTGCTTTTGCTGGCTAGGTGGATGAACAGCGAGATTCATGGGAGTGTGCTAGACAGTGCGAGGAAGAAGGGAGGGGGAAAGTGGGCGAGGTGGAAGGGGAAGCGAGCGGGAAGGAGAGAACGGGTGGGGGGAACAAGGGGAGGATGAGGGGGGAGGTACGGAGAGGGAAGGGTGTGCGGTGCTGCTATGAAGCAGGAGTTTATTGAGGGATTAGATTGGTTTCAAAGGTTTCCAAAACGTTTCCGATATTTTTTCGTAGGTCTTGTGTTTGCTGATGGGTTTTGTTCGTTCTTCCTGACCTGATGTGGAAATGGATTGTTCATCTTGTCAACGCCCACCGATTGGTTCAAAGCATTTTGTTTGCTGCCCCTTCCAAATCGCAGGCGGTAGCGCGTGCGATTTGTGGTGCACGCGGGGCCAGGGCACAGAAGTAGGGACCCAAATTTCGTCGAGATCTTCGCCCAGCGGAAAGGGGCCGAGTTGAGAAGAGGGCAAAACTTTCAACAGATTCCCCCCCCTGCATTCGCCAAGGTTATCCAGTTGCACAACCTCGGCAAGGCGCCGCCTCTTCGAAAACGACAATTTCGACACCCCCTGTGTCAGACTGGCACTCCTGAGATGTGAACAGAACTTGCTATTCACGTCAAACAATGCCGTAACAACGTCAACTTTATACACCATATTAAGGAATTTATACATCCTCTAGCCAAACTGTCAATGTCAAATCATCCATCTTATCATCGTCTAGCTCTACCTTGGAACACCGTTGCCTCCTCAAGTTTGGTCCTGGCCATCCCATGTGATTAGGCCCCCTACCCATTCGCATGGGCCCTTGAGATCTGATGATGCGCGCCGACATCACCTTTGATATGGCAATCGGGCAATGGGAACGGTCGAGCTTGCGTAGGAATGATGTGCGATTGTAGACACTGACCACGCCAGAAGGTACACCCTTGTTGGAAGCGGTAGTGCTAGTGTCCAGTTGTCCCACATATGTTGCATACATTGTAAAGGGCAGGGCGCATATCTCGTGGGGGGGAGCATCATCCTGCGAGAAGGTGAGTTGGGACAAATCAAGGAGAAAAGATCAAGGAATGGAGCGTCGCCCATCTTTAATACCCTCTCCCTCTGCCTCAACCCCTCCTGCGGTACACACTCATGCACCTCCCTTGTTTCCCCAACCCTTAGGACCAACCCATATACACGTGCTTACGCTCATCTCTATCCCTTCCCCCCAACCCCCCCACCACACACACACACACACACACACACACACACACACACACACACACACACACACACACACACACACATGCACGCACCTCCGGGAGCCTGGTATCAAATGTGAACGCAGTGGGGTCCGCACTCCCCACGAAGGAGTAGAACGTTCGCTCCGCCCTCACCAGCTCTGATAGCAGCCGCGCCTGGCATGGGGAGAATTAGTGGCAATACAGTGAAGATGCACTCTGGTTCGTGGTAGTTAGATTTAGGGCGCCTCAAAACTGTACCCCCCACGAAGGAGTAGAACGTTCACTCCGCCCTCACCAGCTCTAGCGGCCATTAGACTGAACGTTCGCTCCCCTACCAGCTCGTAGCACAGGGCGTTACGACCATTATCAAGGTGCCTCAAAAACCGTCTCGTCTCAATCAACTCCAGCTTTGAGACGTACCAATCAACCCCAATCAAAGAACTACCCTAGCCTCGGTACTTCACTAAAGCTGATGTATGAAGAGAGTGACCAGCCTCGGTACCACTGATCTAAACGTACCCCAGGGTAGATCTTGATAGCAAAGCCCCATGAGATGGCTGCCGTCCACTGGGAGCTGCAAGGGAGGGAGGTGCATGGATCACGGAGCGAAAAACGGGGTGGAAGGGGTCAGGAGGGGTGGTGAGTAGGGATGCAGCACGAGGTGACACAGAAGGACATGGGCACACAGTTCGATGACGGAGAGAAGTAGGCTTGTGCATGCACATATCCCACCCACCCACTCCTCCCACCCACCTACCCGTCGCCGCACACTGCCAGCTGTGCAAACCCTACTGGGTCCGGCCTCATCCTCTCCGCCAGCGCGGCGAGCCCCTCCGCCCGGTCAGCGGTGCCAGCTGGCAGCAGCAGCGGGTCAACAAAGTCAAGATGGTGCAGGGACAGCAGCGGCTGTAGCGGGTGCGCCATGAGGAGCCCGAAGAGACTGCCGCCCAGATCTACCTGGTGGAAGCCCGGGGTTGGTGTGAGGGACACCTGGGGGAGGGGGGGGAGCAGAGGGGGAATGGAGTCAAGGTGTGGGGCTGGGGGGAAAGCAGCGGGTGCAGGGGGTGCGCCATGAGGAGCCCAAAGAGACTCCCGCCCAGATCTATCTGGTGGAAGCCCGGGGTTGAAGTGAGGGACACCTGGGGGAGGGCCGGAGGGCAGGGAGGTGGAGAGAAGAGACTGTCGTCCCCCAGGTGTCTCTCTGCCTGCCCGCCCTCCCCCAGATCGACCCGACAAGAGACTGTCGTCCAGGTCGATCTGGTGGAAGCCCGGTGAGGTATGCCGCCCCACATGAGATATGCCCCCTGTCTCTGCAATGCAAGCACTCACCCACAATTCTCGCCACACAGGGGCGTGTCGCTCCAAGCACGCGTCCATGGACCCATCTGTACTCAGCATGCGCGCCAGCGCTGCCGAGATGGCGAACCCGCCCCCTCCAATCTATCATGCAAGCACGCACTCACCCCAAACTCGCCAACGCAGCTTGCGACCCGCTCGTCGCTCCCCCACACAGTGGCGTGTTGCTCCAAGCACGCGTCTATCGCCCCATCTGTACTCAGCATGCGCGCCAGTGCTGCCGAGATTGTATCCCCCCAGATGGGCTAAAGGGAATAGGCAATGCAAGCTCTCTCACTCACCCCTAGCTCCCCCACGCAGCTGGCGACACGTTCATCGCTCCCCCAGACTGCAGCGTGTCGCTCCAAGCACGCGTCCATGGCCCCATCTGTACTCAGCATGCGCGCCAGCGCTGCCGAGATGGGCTAAAGGGAACAGGAAAATGCAAGCACTCACTCACCCCCAGCTCCCCCACGCAGCTTGCGACCTGTTCATCGCTCCCCCACACTGCTGCATGTCGCTCCAAACACGCGTCCATGGACCCCCCCTCACTAAGCATGCGAGTAATGCCACACAGCGTGCATTTATACATAGTGCAACGTGTACTCACCCCCAGCTCGCCCACGCAGCTCGCCACGCGTTCATCGCCCCCCCACACAGCTGCATGCCGCTCCAAGCACGCGTCCATGGCCCCGCCGTCACTCAGCATGCGGGCGAGTGCTGCAGAGATGGGCTAAAGGGAACGGGAAAATGCAAGCACTCACTCACCCCAAGCTCGCCCACGCAGCTGGCGACCCGTTCATCGCTCCCCCACACGGTGGCATGCCGCTCCAAGCACGCGTCCATGGCCCCGCCCTCACTCAGCATGCGTGCCAGCGCTGCAGAAATGGCGAAACCTCCGCCACCAAACGCCATGCCATGCGTGTTGGCCACGTTCTGGTAGTGCGTCTCAGAAGGTGCTCCAAGGTAGAGGGGTGTGCGGTGGTCGTATTGCCCAAGGAATGCTGTGATGGCATGCGGGCTGAAGAACGTGTCGTCGTCTCCCATCACGTACCTGGTGGTCGTTAGGGGGGTTGGGGGGTGGGAGGGGGAGGGAAGTGGGGGTGTGTGATATCAGTTGGTGGAGTGCGGTGGCTGTAATGATGGGAAAAGGCTGCTATGGCCAGGGGGCTAAAAAATGTGCCATCGTCGCCCATCACGTACCTACAGGTGGGGGTGAAAGGAGAGCGGGGAGAGAGAGGGGGGGATGGTATGGGGTACAGCGTTTTGGCGGCATTCTCGAATGAAAGCAGTGCCCTGGAAGCTCAGGTGGCGCCACCCACAATTGAACACTCCAAGCATACGATATGAACTCACCATCGCACGCCCTTCTCCCCGAGCCTATACGCGTCCACCACGATTCTCGCTAGCCGCAAATATTCCCTCAGCCCCGTGCCCCGATAACTCAGGTGACTTGTGTTGCTGCTGGCCCTCACAGGTGGGTCCAATGCCACGTCATGCGGGACCGCTTCCACGTCATCCACCCACACGTAGCCTCGGATCTTCTCATCCTGCCCGCCCGGTGACTTTTGAGTCGAATTTAAATTTTCCTCCTGCCGGCCCGGGTGCCACCAGCTGCGCAGGTAGGCTCGGCGGTACGGAAAGGTGGCTCGGGACGAGGCTATGTTGAACATGACGTGATGCAGCTGCGTCTCCTGCTCCTCCCCGCCTTCTCCCTTCTCCTCTTGCTCCCTTTCCACCTCCTCAGTCATCTGCACCTTCTCCTCCTGCGATCCTGCAACAGCCTCCTCCTTCCCAACCCTGTCACCACCGCCATCACCATCACTCATAGGATCCGAGCCATCAGCAGCATCGATCATCCCCCGCCCTTCTCGTCTCGAGCCCAAGGTGCCCGTGGGGCCTTGACCAGACGCCAACACACTCTGTTCAGCACGGTACGGCGCCCTCAGGTCGCTGAAAGCTCCCAGAGGGCTTGCAAAAGCCCCCAGCACCCACTCGTACCACCTATAACCACTCTTCTCCAATTTGCCGGAAATTTCCTCCTTCTCTTTCTCAGGAGCATTGTTCTCCTTTTCTCCACCCGACAGGGACGTCGCATCTCCTGAGAGGATCTCCACGCCTGAGCCGTCCATGCCTCCAAGAATCTCCGAATTACCCAGAATATATCCGCTGATAACTGAATCTGCAGCTGTAATGTGACGCGGGTGCGGCAAGGGGCCATGAGGAGCGGTGCTAGGCGAGGCAGGGGTTGGAGCAGAGCGGATGAAAGAGGAGGCGAGGAGGGAGGCGCTGAGGGCGATGCATGTGAGGGAGAGCGAGACTATGGCGAGGGCGAGCGTGCTGCGCGGGATGAGCGCGTGGTTGGGCCACGACAGCCTCGTCCACAGGCTGACAGGAAGCCCTCGCGACCTCATGAGGCAACGCCGAAAAGTAACTAGTAGTATGACAGGTAACGACGACCTCAAACTTTTCCAAGCAGTGCTTCAGGGCTGCTAGTGAAGGGAAAACAAAAGAAAGCGGAAAGGAGTTGAAAAGTGGCTATATGATAAGGTGGGTCGATACTAATCGAGGAATCAGGTCGGAAGGACACAACGGAGGAACATATGGAAAGGAGCTTCAGAGGGGGATGAACAAGAAACTAACTGGAAGACTGACCTTGGAATTTCCGAATTCCAATTTCCGAATTGCGAAGCGCACATCGCGGTTCGATGTTCCGAGATTGGGACGGAATCCAGCTTTGCACGAGGTGGTTCGAAATTTCTGATTGGACGCGAATCGTGTCCCTTTCGCAGAGGTATGGCGTGGAGGTCGGACGAAGGACGACAGCTGGCGAACAAAACTCGTAACCCCAATCTCTCCGAACTTCACTCAAGACCCGCTATTGTTTCTCCTCATACACGTTAGACGATGTTGTTCAAAAAGAATCCTTCAGGAACGTTTCATTCTTATATGGACACAATCACACACAGACGAGCAGACAGCCTCAACCTCCGAAAGGTCAGGCAGTATCTTCAGAATGGAATCAGCACGTTGCCATATTGCACACCAACTCGATTCCAGTTATACGGCCCTGACGGGCCCACAACAACCCCACCCGGCCGCGACTGGTACTGCTGTTGCTGATACACCTGCATCTGCTTCTGCTGCACCATCCAGCTCGCCGCAAACATCGCATCCGCCCCTCCCGCAGACCTCGCAGCCGCAAAGAACCGCGCGTGCTGACTCAGCATGCGCCTCTGAAGCTCCATAGCCAGCTGCTGCTGCGCTCTAAGTGCCATCTGGACATACGGCGGCGGCGGGACTGCAGCAGAAGCCGCAAAAGGATCCCCATTCGCACCACCACTTCCACCAGCACCAGCAGCACTAGCGCCTACACCACTGCCTCCTGCTCCTCCCAATCTGGCTGCAGTGGCATCAGAGGCGTGTTTCTGTGCCTGTGCCGCCTCATACAGACTGTCCAGTAACAGCTGGTCCCAGCCCCCAGAAAAGGCGGTCATGGGTGGTTGATCCAATGGGCTGCTGCCAGCTGTACCGCTTCCACCATTTAGCCTGGGAGCGGCTAGTGCCCACTGCTGCTGCTGCTGCTGCTGCTGCTGATGATGCTGATGATAAAGATGGGGTGCCTGTTGTCCTCCTTGCCCTTGCTGGCTTGGAGGCATGTACGAACCCGCAACACTGCCTGAAGCACCAACTGAAGCACCACCTGCAGCACCAGCTGTAGCATCAAGAGCACGCTCCCATCCCGGCGCACCATTCGTGACGTACTTCATCTGCGTGGCTGCATTAGAGGTAGCAGCAGGAAAGGGCTGCGAGGAATACGACCCAAAGAGCGCTTGAGCGGTGTCGTCAAACTGCTGCTGCTGGGCGGCAGGGGAGAGAGCAGGGTTGGCGGGCTGGGGGGGTGGTGGTTGAGAGGCGCTGTAGGAGTAGTACGGGCTGGGGCCTTGAGGGTTCTGGTGCTGATAACCCATCTGCTGCTGCTGCTGTTGCTGCTGCTGTTGCTGCTGCTGCTGGTGCTGGTACTGGTGGTGCTGCTGCTGCTGCTGCTGCTGGTGCTGCTGCTGCTGAAATTGGGGATGACCATGTTGTTGGCCTGGGACAGGAGTGAAGAGCACCATGGCGTTGGGAAGAGAACGATGAGAGTCACTCCTGTCCAAATTCGGCTGCTGCTGATGTTGTGCTTGCTGCTGCTGCTGCTGCTGCTGTTGCTGTGGTCCCATACCTCTAAAACTAGCACCACCAGCAGCACTGCCATCAGCGAAACTCCCGGCTCTGCTGAATCCACCACTACCAGCAGCAGGGTGCATGGGAGAGGGAGGAACGCTCATGCCAGCATCCGGGCCTGCAGCAACGGAGGCGGAGAGGTTGCCAATAACGCCGTCCCCGAGTACTGCCACCGAGGGGAAGGCCACACCTGCGCCCACCCCTGCTGCACCCAGGCGCGTGTACATGTCAGATAACGCCTTCCCCTGCTGCACCGAGAACTGGCACACCTGAAGCGCGCGCATGGCCTGGATGGGAGTAGACGAGAGTGCATGGGACGGCGAAGGGTGGAAGGATGAGACGGGGAAAAGGAAAGGGGGAAGGGGAGGTGGGGATGAGAAAGGACAGCAGGGTGGACAGGTCAGCAAAGTAGACACGTCAGCTAGCACAAGTACCCAGCTGGCTTTCTTGTGACCCACCTGCTCCTTGGGGAAGCGACTGAGTCGTTCCATGAGCTCGATCAGCCCGTAGTTGACCCACCCATACACCCGGAAGCTCTCATCCAACGCCACCTCCAGCACATACCGCACCACTCGCCGCCGCCTCTCCCGCTCCCCCTCCCCCTCCCTCCCACGCCCGTCTGCTCCTCCCCCTGCACCTGCCGCTGCTCCCCCCGCTGTTCCTGCTGGGACCGACCCTGCGGGTTTCCCTGCTGCGAAGCTGGTGCCGAGGCCGCTGGGAGCAGCGGCGGCGCAGTCGACCAGGCGTTGCTGCAGCTGCTGGAGAGACGCCACCTGGTGTAGCACAGCGTCGGACTGAAGCTACACCCAGTATCCCTCACCCAACCCCCGCTCTGAATCACTCTCTGAATTCCTCAATTCGCCGTTTTCAGATACGTTTTCCCCGTTTTTGGCTGATCCGGTTGCAGATTCGGCTCCCGTGCGGAACACCTGGAGCCCTATGCTGTCCACGCACCGAAGCCGCTCCTGCAGATACACGCAGTACGCGTGCGCGAACCGGGCCAGCGCCGCGTCATCGCTGACGTCACCAGCGGAGGCTGACGTGGCAGCAGTGGAGGAGGCAGAGGAGGAGGGAGTGGAAGGAGCGGGGAGGGTGTAGTGGAGGCGACGGGCCAGACGAGGGAGGTCGAGGGAAGGTCGGTCTTTACGGGTTGACGTGGAGAGTAGCATGCTGCAGATGTCTGATTCTTGATTGGCGGAGCAGGACCGGAGTAACCCGTGGAGAAGCAGAACACCTGGAGATAATGGGTAAGTGGATGAATAAGTAATAATAGACTAGGGTTAAAACGAAAACGTAAAAAAGCCGTCGCGTCTGCAGGAGGATGAAACGTGCAACTGAGATTCCTCAGGGGTATCCAAGCTGAGACGTGACGCACTGAAACTGAAAAAACACCGTTCCGTTACTGCTTCGACACCGAAATTAACTACGAGCGCAAAAGCTGAGACGTGACGCACTGAAACTGAAAAAGCACCGTTCCGTTACTGCTTCGACACCGAAACTAACTAACTATTCTATAAAGAAAGGTGCGTTTTGCCTGACGCCGTTTCGGTTCCCTACCTCTGGAAATGGACCCGGGGGATCGTTTCAGTGGCCGGTGCTGGCCCTCCGCCTGAGCCTGTTTCTTCTCCAGTAACCGCCGGCCAAGGCCGTCCAGAAAATGCCAGAGGTGGTCAGAAGATTTGGCCATGGCGGACAGCTCGTTGGCTAGGTCCTCCTGGTAGCGCCGCCATGCTCTCTCGCTCTCTCCCTCCGGGTCCGCTGCGTCTAACGCTTCGTCGATTAGCTCGTCTAGCGCGTCGGCTTCGGCTTTAGGGAGGACGACGAGCCGCATCTTGGCGAGGTCGACGTCATCAGGAAGAAGTGGCTTCATTCTTAATACGGCTTTTTAGAATCCCACAGACGGAAAAACTAAAGTAACCTCGAGACTCAACTATATCGAAGCAACTAATGATGTTCTCAGCCTTGACGATCACAATGACTCTCTGGTACAGATTCGATTGAGGTTTTCTAGACTATAACTAGTCGCTAAATGCAGACTGCTGGAAAACGAAGAGCTTGTGAGGAAGGGGGACTGTCCTGACTGCTGACAAAATCTGGGAATGAAGCTGAGTGGTGGTGAAGGCGAATCTCTCTTTTATCTCTTCTCTCTTTTATCGTACCACCACCCAGCCAAGAGGCTTGGGTTTGGCAGTGGTCTCTGTTGTTGGGTTCGGCAGCCAGCATTGACTTGAGTCCGCTTGCCATTGGAGCTGGCTTCTTGTGTGTTCTGGTTCGGACCTTGATATCCACGCCTGAAGGCCCAGGTCTGGTATTGTCGGAGATAGACAAGACGTATGAATTAGGTTTGGCCAGGGCCGGAGAGCGGGAGAAAATTTCGCGAAAGCACGAAGAAAAAGCCGATTTCGCCAACTGCGTGTGTGACTGGTCTGACATGACTGCTCGGTGCCCCAGTTTGCGGTTCGACGACTTCGTCAGCAGACAGACACAATTCATTGGACAAGGTCACGGTGATCGGTTCGACGGTGCGACAAATACATATGCTGGTTCCGTCGCGAATGTTCGTTGACCGGCAGAAACTCTGCTGTATCTATCGAAGACATACGACTCAAGGCATCTTGGAAACCAAAACGTAATGTCCAGGCTACGTCTGGGACCCATCTCAGCTTTATATAGAGTACAGGTTGGTTGCTGGCCGCAAGTGGGGTTTTTTATTCTGACACTGCTGACTGGGACCGGTCCTATCTGCTATCTCCACTGGTCCAATTCCTGAATTTGAACGGATTTGGCGGTGTCGAGCCTTGACTAGGAACGTCGTCAGACAACGTCTCATTTTCCAAACAATTATATCAAACCCACGTGGATGCTTGCTCATAGATGTATAACCTCTTCTCGCTTGCTCCTTGTGCCCAGCCTACTCCAGAAGTCCCGTTAAGCCTAGGAGGCACAAGCTGCGGGGGAAGCGGAGAGTGCGTAAAACCCCTCTCAACTCGGGTTTGTAACACACCCAGCCACATCACAAAATGCAGCCAATACAGCCAGTCGGCGAGTACGACCTACACCGGATACCACCTCCCTCAGGCCCAGGCGCTGGACCCCCACAACGCCCCGGGCAATACCGCGGTGGAGGAGGCCGACACCGAGGATCGAACCCGGGACCTCACGGAGGCATACCCGCTATAGTGATCCCCGGGATCGGGCAATTACCGCCCATCCCGCCGCACGTGGTCAAGTTCATCCGCAAATTTGGGCCGTTGATCTTGATCATCACGCTGCTGTTCGCCGTGCAGTACCTGCTCCTGTCGATCTACATGAACGTGCGGCGAATCAAATATGACGTAAAGGAACAGTGCGCGTCGCTCCAGGCGGATCTGAATCTGACGGCGTGGGGGCACATGGAGGGCGTGCGCAACGAGAACTGGCGGCAGCACCGCATGGTGGGACGTGGCACGTACGGATTGGTCCAGTGGTCCGCGTATCGAATCCAGGAAGGCGTGGTGGTGGGAGTAGGGTTTGGCGCGACACTGCTGCGACCGCACAGGAAGGTGAGGCAGGGGAAGGTTAGAGCAGGGGAAGGTTAGAGCAGGGGGGGGTGGGACCGGTGGATGTGGAGCAGGGGAAGGTGGTGGTTGGGGTAGGGTTTGGCGCGACGCTGCTGCGGCCTCACAGAGAGGTAAGAGCAGGGGGAGGTGGGACTGGTGGAGGTGGAGCAGGGGAAGGTCAGAACAGGGGAATGTAAGAGCAGAGGAAGGAGGATCAGGGGAATGTGGGAAGAGGGTAAGGTGGGAGCAGGGGGAGATGGTCACCAGGGAAGGTGGTAACAGGAAATGCAAAGATCACAGAAAAGTGGACACGGGAAGGTGGGATCACGGGTGGGACGTGTGAAAGGCGCGATTGCAAGGTGGGGGAGGGAGGGGGGAAAAGAGGGGGAGGAGGGGGGAGGGTGGGTGGAGTGCACATAAGAGTGAGATTGGCGGCAGCAGCATGCAGTTTTAGCCCCAGACTCCCCCCATGTCCTTGTCATTGTGAAACACTTTCCCCCATTTCTTATCCCCCCCCCCTCCTCCCTCCCTCCCTCCCTCCCTCCCTCCCTCCCTCCCTCCCGTCCTCCCTCTCTCCCTCCCTGCAACAAGCAGTATAAAGCATCATCATCCTCCCCTCCCCTCCCTCTCCTTTCCCCTCCCCCCCCCCTCGTTAAGATCACATCGTGCACGTGGCACGGGGCGGACGGGGTGACAATACTGGGCGACCCATCGCTGCACTACCCGCGGGACGAGCCGCACGAGCAGTACAAAACCATCGTCATTCGCTGCGACCTGCGCTTTCTCTCCCTCCTTCCCTCCACCAACACTACATAGCCTTGCTCCTCCCTCCCTCCTCCCTCTCTCCTCCCTCCTCCCTCTCTCTCTCCTCCCTCCCTCCTTCCTCCATCTCTCCTCCCTCCCTCCTCCCCCCCGCCCCCCCCCTTCCCCCGTTCCCCCTCGTTAAGATCACATCGTGCACGTGGCACGGGGCGGACGGGGTGACAATACTGGGCGACCCATCGCTGCACTACCCGCGGGACGAGCCGCACGAGCAGTACGAAACCATCGTCATTCGCTGCGACCTGCGCGGCAAGGTGGTTACCAACCTCGGCGGTTACCTCGTGGTGGGAATCGACAACGAGCATATAATCCTGTACCGGGAGGATCGGGATTCGCCGACCCACGCGCTGCTCTCCACGACCCACCCGTACCGAGCCTCTTTCTGCACGTACCCGATTGCCGACCCTGTGGATGGGGCGAGGCTGCGCGATTGGCTGCATGTGCACCGGGCGTATGGAGCGGAGCACGTGATTGGGTACGATGCGGGCGGCGTGGACCGGGCGGCGTTGCGTGAAGTGAAGGAGTTTCTGGACGAGAAGTTTCTGGAGGTGCTGCCGATGAGAGACGTGGTGCACTTCCGGGTGCAAGCGCAGGGAAAGGTGAGTCGGGAAGCAAGGCAAGTGCATAGGTCTCTTGTTAAGTGGGAAGTGACCGGGCGCTGCGTGAAGTGAAGGAGTTTCTGGATGAGAAGTTTCTGGAGGTGCTGCCGATGAGGGATGTGGTGCACTTCAGGGTGCAGGCGCAGGGAAAGGTGAGTGCAGGCCCAGGGGAAGGTGAGTTCTGGGATTGTGGGGTCAAGTGCAAGGGAAGGGAGTTTCTGGATGACAAGTTTCTGGAAGTGCTGCCGATGAGGGATGTGGTGCACTTCAGGGTGCAAGCCCAGGGAAAGGTGAGATCTGGGAATGTGGGCTCAAGGCTCAAGTGCAAGGGAAGGGAGTTTCTGGATGAGAAGTTTCTGGAGGTGCTGCCAGGGTTTAGGGATGAGAGATCTGGTGCACTTCAGGGTTTAGGGATGAGAGATCTGGTGCACTTCAGGGTTTAGGGATGAGAGATCTGGTGCACTTCAGGGTGCAGTGCAAGCCCAGGGGAGGTTCTGGGGTTAAGAGGTGGTGGGTCGAAGTGTTAACCAGGAATTATGGGTGCAGGGGAAAGGCGAGTGGAGGGTTTCGGGCTTAGGGAAGAATGTGGATGGGAGTGGCGCGGAGAAAGTGCATTAGGTGCAAGTGCAAGTGCAAGACAAGATGAGTGAATTTGGGGGAAATCAGATGGGCGTGTTACTGGCAGAGTGTGTTGCTGACAACATCATCTCAACTCATTCATAGCACCCCCCCTCCTGCCGTATACCCCCCCACTCGCTCTCTTCCCCTGGGCATGGATCAGCTCATGGCGACGCTCAACCCTTACTCACCTCCTCCTGGGTCGTCTTTCTCAACCGGGACAACATTCCACATTATCTCGCCTCATTCCCTCCCCTGCCTGAAAACACCATCCACCATCCCCATTGCAGCAGACAGTGCATCTTCTTCATCCAATTTCCCCATTGCAGCTCATGGCGATGCACGACTGTCTGTACCGCTCCACCCTCGCGTCCTCGTGGGTCCTGTTCCTCGACTGGGACGACATCCTCCACAACATCTCCCCTCATTCTCCCCCGTGCCTCCTGTTGCCTTCACCGCACTCCTTCCCATCATCAGCTCATGGCAATGCACGACTGTCTGTACCGCTCAACGCTCACCTCCTCGTGGGTCCTGTTCCTCGACTGGGACACATTCTTCTCATCATCTCGCCTCATTCGCCCCCCCCCCCCTCCCCCCATCTTTGTTCCCCCCTCGGTCAATCCCCCACTCCTTCCCCTGGCAGCTCATGGCAATGCACGATTGTCTGTACCGCTCAACACTCACCGCTTCCTGGGTCCTGTTTCTAGACTGGGACGACATCCTCCACATCATCTCGCCGCCCTCCCTCTCGGAGCTCCTCTCCCAGCATCGCAACGTGCCCTGGCTGTCATACGGCTGCCAAGTCTGGGGCACCAAATTGTGCATGGGAACAAAGGTGAGCACTGCACTGCACGGCACCGCACTGTACCACATTGCACTGCACCGCATTGCACCACACTCTAGCCAACGTTTCTCCCTCTCGGGGCTCCTCTCCCAGCACTGCATCGTGCCCTGGCTGTCGTACGGTTGTCAAGTCTGGGGCACGAAGTTGTGCATGGGGACAAAGGTGAGCACCGAACTGTACCGCACCATGCTGCACCGCACTCTACCAGGTCGTACTACTTGCTCCCTCTCGGAGCTCCTCTCCCAGCACCGCAACATGCCCTGGCTGTCATACGGTTGCCAAGTCTGGGGCACCAAGCTATGTATGGGGACAAAGGTGAGTCTTACCGAGGTAACCACCACACTGCACCGCTCTGTACCACTTTCCATTGCTCACTTTGCTCCCTCTGGGAGCTCCCCTCTCAGCATCGCAACGTGCCCTGGCTGTCATACGGTTGCCAAGTCTGGGGGGCACCAAGCTATGTATGGGGACCAAGGTAAGCACTGCACTGTACCACACTAGATAGCACTGCATTGCACCACGCTCTACCCAACCTGCACTCCAACGTGCGAGCCTGAATCATCGCACATGCCAAACGTGCCAGCAGCTTCATTGTCTACCCTTCCCTACACATCCTCTCCATCCCCTCCTCTCCACCGCTCTCCACCGCTCTCTCCCCTTGCCCACATACCCTTTGCAGGTGAGCAGTTGCGCCAAGGGCCTGATGCCCCAGGAGAGCATGCTGTGGCACTGGCTGCAATTCCTGTGCTCTGAACGTGGCCTTTTCTCCCTGTGCCCGGTATCCCGTTCTCCCTGTGCTTTCTGTTTGCCTTATGCTGATTTGCTCACCCCCTGACAGGTGAGCAGTTGCGCCAAGGGCCTGATGCCCCAGGAGAGCATGCTGTGGCACTGGCTGCACTTCCTGCTATATCTAAAGGTCACCCTGTGCACATGTATCCCCCCTTTCCTGTTGCTCTTATGCTGTGACCCCCTGGCAGGTCAGCAGTCGCACCAAGGGCCTGATGCCCCAGGAGAGGATGCTGTGGCACTGGCCGCACTTCCTGTGCTCTGAGGGCGACCCTCCTGTGGAGGCTAACTTTTGCCCGGGGACCCGAGGGCACCGCTACATCATGGCCAATACTGGCAAGGTGAGAGGAGAGGGCCAAGGCGGGCAGTGTGGGTCAGAGGATAAAGGGAGAGAGAGTGAGGATGCTGTGGCACTGGCCGCACTTCCTGTGCTCTAAGGGCGACCCTCCTGTGGATGCCAACTTCTGCCAGGGGACTCGAGGGCACTGCTACATCATGGCCAATACTGGCAAGGTGAGAAGAGAGGCGAGCAAGGTGAGAGAAGAGCGAGGGGGGGATGGGACATGATGACTTACAGAGCAGTATGGCCCCTCCTGTGGATGCCAACTTCTGCTCGGGGACCAGAGGGCACCGCTACATCATGGCCAATACTGGCAAGGTGAGAGGAGGGGGGCGCGGTGCGACATTTTCTAGTTACCTCAGAAAAGGGAGGCACAGTGGGACATGATGACTTACAGACAGAGCAGTATGGCCCCTCCTGTGGATGCCAACTTCTGCCTGGGGATCCGGGGGCACCAATACATTATGGCGAATACTGGCAAGGTGAGAGGAGATTGTGAAAGTGAGGGGAAGTGAGGGAGAGTGAGGGAGAGTGAGGTGGTGTACCCACGAACAGGTGGTGTGGATCTGTCAGTGGAGTCGGTGCGGCACGAACGGTTTGAGAACAAGCGGGGCGCGGACAGAAGAAGCAGACATTGTCATGCCCTGTCCTCCCCCTCCCCTGCTCCCCTCCCTGGCAGGTGTTCTTGATGGGGGAGAACGAGGTGGTCGATCCAAGAACAGGAGGGGTAGACCTGTCAGAGGAGTCGGTGCGGCACGAGCGGTTCGAGAACGTGCACAAGAGGGCCTTATCTATCCTGACACCCCTGTACTGCCCTCCCTGGCAGGTGTTCCTGATGGGGGAGAACGAGGTGGTCGATCCAAGAACAGGAGGTGTAGACCTGTCAGTGGAGTCGGTGCGGCACGAGCGGTTCGAGAACGTGCACAAGAGGGGCGCGGACATGGATTGGTGCTCGGAGGTGTATGGGGAGAAGGATACTGTTGAGTGGTGGGTGAAGGACGGGACCATGCAGACCCGCCTGGAGGTCATTCGCAAGAAGGTGTATTCCAAGGAGAAAAGATGAGGCATGCTTTGAAAGGGAAAAGTGGGGGCATGGTCAGGGGAGCAGAACGGGAGTGGTGCTCGGAGGTGTATGGGGAGAAGGATACCGTTGAGTGGTGGGTGAGGGACGGGACCATGCAGACCCGCCTGGAGGTGATTCGCAAGAAGGTGTATTCCAAGGAGAAGAAATAAAGGGAAGGGCTGGGGAGGGGGGGTACTGGTGAAGGGTAGGGTGGAGTGGTGGGTGAAGGACGGGACCATGCAGACCTGGCTGGAGGTGATTCGCAAGAAGGTGTATTCCAAGGAGAAAAGATGAGGGATGCTTTGAAATGTAGAGGAGGGGCGTGGGCAGGGGGGCAGGGGGACAGGGAGTGCGGGCCGGGAGGTGTATGGGGAGAAGGAGAGCGTGGCATGGTGGGTGAAGGACGGGACCATGCAGACCTGCCTGGAGGTGATTCGTAAGAAGGTGTATTCCAAGGAGGGGAGATGGGGAGGGGAGACGGGGAGGGGAGTGAAGAAGGGCAGGCCACAAAGGCAGATGCAAGGAGGCATGCCATTCTGGCTGGGCCTTGTTCACAAGGTGTACACCGAGACTGGGAAGGTGAAAGGAAGCAGGGGAGTGGAGGAGGGCAATTGTTGAGTGGATTCTAAAGTCACCTCTACTGAAGGTCAGAGGTCATTTGCAGGAAGGCTGCTGATTGAATCCGAGGAGTTCTATGGGCGTACAGTACCATTACAATTACCGGTAACTGCCGTGATGTGCACCTGTGGTTGGGGTGGTTATTTGCAGGAGAAATCGAGCCACTGCTCTGGAAAGGTTGAATCTGTTGCATGCCGCTGTTCCCTTGAGTTGTAGGTTCAGTTCACTATCATACCTGAAATAAGCAGATTTGCATCATTGCGTCACCAGGCTGCCACAGTCATCATGTTGTTGACAATCTGTGATTTGATACCAGTTTACTACATTGTCTCTGAGATTTCACAGACATCTCACTGCTTGGTACTTCCGGATCATTCTCTGGTATTCCATGTACCGTTTGAAAGGAAGCTTGGTTTTACCCAAATCACCTGCCATGAAGACATTTCTCTTTCAGTGCCACACTGGTCAATGGTGTACATTAGAAACATGAGAATGTTCAGAACTTGGTTTTACCCATCAGAAGTGAGACCACCAACTACCTAGCTCTGCCTCGCTCCAGCTTGAGTGCCGCCTCCTCAGCCTTGTGGTGGAAGAGCTTCACAAACGACCGCCGCTCACAGTCCTGCTCACACTCATCAAGAGTAATACATAAGTGATGCTGCCTCGTTTCAGAGATGGTCATAGTAAGGGGGAGACTTGAAAAAATGCACAATCACGCATGGATAACCAAGTTGCTGCTGACAGTCCTGCTCATGCACCAGGGAGATCAGGTAACCCTGTTGAAGCAACGGTTGATGCAGCCGTTCGACGCCAAGGGTGGTTACCTTGTGTCTGATTCATCCAGAAAGAGGTTGAGACTATGCTGACTGTCATCATGACCCCATTGCCCCACCTTTACGCATAAACACTCCAATCCTCAACTTTTGACCCTTTATTGACTTGGGCTGACTGCCTGGACTCACCTTGAACATATTCAGCCTCAGCGGGTGAGAGGTGCGAGCCATCTTGTGGTACGTGTAGGCGAAGGAGAGCTGGCTGCGACTAGCTGAGCGTTGACTGCATTGACTGCATTGACTGCCTGGACTCACCTTGAACATATTCAGCCACAGTGGGTGAGAGGTGCGGGCCATCTTGCGATACGTGTATATTCCAAGGAGAGCTGGTCGAGCTTCAAACCGTTGACTGCATTGACTCACCTTGAACATATTCAGCCGGAGAGGGTGCGAGGTGCGAGCCATCTTGTGGTACGTGTATGTGAAGGAGAGCTTGCTGCGACTAAGCTGAGCGGCGGTGACTGCATTGACTGCATTCACTAGCTCACCTTGAACATATTCAGCCTCAGGGGGTGAGAGGTGCGGGCCATCTTGTGGTACGTGTAGGCAAAGGAGAGTTGGTCGCGGGAGGTGAAGCGGTCCACCTCGTTGAACCAGAGGCACGAGAACAGGTTGGCCGCTGCTGTGTGCGCTCTTATGATCACCGACCCCTCCGGTACGTCTGAGAGGGGATGTGGATGGATGAGGGAGCGTGGGGAACAGGAGAGTGGGTCGAGAGACAGGACTTTTACAACACGGACAGGGATTTAAAAAAAACCTGGAGAGGGAAAGTGGGGTTGGGTTTGAGTGGGTTGAGGAGAGCTGGTCGCGGGAGGTGAAGCGGTCCACCTCGTTGAACCAGAGGCACGAGAACAGGTTGGCCGCTGCCGTGTGTGCTCTAATGATCACCGACCCCTCCGGTACATCTGGAAAGAGTGGGGGAGCACAGAGGAATGGCAGAGCAGGAGGGTGGGGAGCAGGAGGGTGAGAAACAGAGGGGTGGGAAGCAGGGGGGTGGAAAGCAAGGGGGGTGGGGAGCAGGGGATGGAGCGGGTTGTTGGGCACTCACTGCTGATGAGCAGGTTGTTGGGGTCGGTGGGGTTGAACATGGTGAGTCCATCGGCCTTGTACGCCTCAAACTGCTCGTCAATGACCGTCGCATTGTACTTGCTCAGGTTCTTGGGATACACTACACACTCACTGCTCCACTCACTCACTGCTCCACACACTCACTGCTCCACTCACTCACTGCTCCACACACTCACTGCTCCACACACTCACTTCTCCACACACTCACTGCTCCACACACTCACTGCTCCACACACTCACTGCTCCACACACTCACTGCTCCACACACTCACTGCTCCACACACTCACTGCTCCACACACTCACTGCTCCACACACTCACTGCTCCACACACTCACTGCTGATGAGCAGGTTGTTGGGGTCGGTGGGGTTGAACATGGTGAGTCCATCGGCCTTGTACGCCTCAAACTGCTCATCAATGACTGTCGCATTGTACTTGGCCAGCTTCTTGTTGCGCTCCACCTGATCACACATGCCGTGCACCACTCATGCCGTGCACCGACCGTGCCATGCCACGCCAAGCCATACCATTCGTGTGATTCCATGCCATACCATGCCATGCCACATAATGCAACAGCACGCCACAGTACACGGTGATCAATATCTCACTCCTGTTGAATGACAAAGTACAATCTCACACCGCCCCACTGGTTCACTCATGCCTCATCTCCCAAAGCAGACTTCCTCTAAGCTCGCCTCTTCCTATTCCTCACCTCGCTGGTCCCTTATCACCTCGCATCCCTCACCTCCCTCCGTTTCTCACCTCTTCCCACACGCAGTGTCGGTCGTAGTGGTTGGAAATGGCATACTCAAACCCTCCCCGCCACAGAAACCGTTCCAGGATGGTTAGCGGATCCACAAAGAGCCGCAGCTTGCTGTCAATCCACATGGAATACCTGGAGGCGACATGGGGGAGTCGGGGCGACAGGGGGAAGGGTGACACCACAATGGATGGCAAACGTTGATCAACAGATGATTAACGGATCCACAAAGAGCCGCAGCTTACTGTCAATCCACATGGAATAGCTGGGGGCGACATGGGGGAGGTGACACACCACAAGGGATGGCAAACGAGTTTTGGGACGTCTCAGATGGCAGCTCAAACCACATGGCTGCACTCACTTGGCGTTGGGGAAGAGGCGGTGTGTGAGCAGCTTGGGTATTTTCCCCGTGCGACGAGCATCCGAGTAGGGCGGGTGGGCCACCACGACCACGCGCCACAGCCCCACCTTGCCACATTGCAACTCGAACCACATGGTTTCACGGCCCCACACACACTCACTTGGCGTTGGGGAAGAGGCGGTGTGTGAGCAGCTTGGGTATTTTCCCCGTGCGTCGTGCGTCCGAGTAGGGCGGATGGGCCACGACCACCACGCGCCACAGCCCCACCTTGCCATTCGCATCGGGAATGAGGTTGTCCCTGTAAAGCCCCCTCACTGTCCGCTCGTCCACGAATATCACAAAGCATGCCTTGCGCTTGGCTGTCACGGAGATCTGGAGAGGGGGAGAGAGAGGGGTGATGGATTGAGGAAGTTTTCGGTTCAACCCACGTGCCACAGCCCCACCTTGCCATTGGCATCGGGAATGAGGTTGTCCCTGTACAGCCCCCTCACTGTCTGCTCGTCCACGAATATCACAAAGCATGCCTTGCGCTTTGCTGTCACGGAGATCTGGAGAGGGGGAGAGAGAGGGGTGATGGATTGAGGAAGTTTCAGGTTCAACCCACGTGCCACAGCCCCACCTTGCCATTGGCATCGGGAATGAGGTTGTCCCTGTACAGCCCCCTCACTGTCTGCTCGTCCGCGAATATCACAAAGCATGCCTTGCGCTTTGCTGTCACGGAGATCTGGAGAGCGGGAGAAGGAGAGAGAGAGGGGTGCTGGGTTTAGGCGTTTCAACCCACGCGCGCGCCACAGCCCCACCTTGCCGTTGGCATCGGGAATGAGGTTGTCCCTGTACAGCCCCCTCACTGTCTGCTCGTCCACGAATATCACAAAACACGCCTTGCGCTTGGCTGTCACGGAGATCTGGAGAAGGGAAGGGAGAGAGAGAGAGAGGCAATTTTAGTGAACCGCCTAGAGACAGCCATTAGAAACCCACCTTGCCAGTTGGCATAAAGGAAGAGACTTATCCACCACCAGCCCCTCCACTGTTGCCTCGTCTACAACAATCACAAACGCACAACACATGCCTCTCAGAGGTCCCACCTTGGAGCGCTGAGGCAGCCGGAGGTGGTCCCAGTCGGCAAAGATAGCCGAAACCACAGCAATGCGGCACTGCTCCAAGTACATCTGGTCCGCCTTGGAGATGTCAAACCCTGTCCCCGGCCAGCCGGGCGGCGACTGCACAAAGCCGCAGTGCACCTGCGCCTCGGGCGGCCAGTCCGCCCTGCCAGCTCGGAACGAGTCAGCGCGCTGTCGCCACGTCTGGTGGCCAGCAAAGCGTGGGGCCCACGTGTTGGAGGAGCGGCCGAGGAGGCTGAGCGTGGAGGAGGAGGTAGAGGAGTCGGCAGCAGGGGGATGCTCCATGGTGACGTAGTGAGGGGTTGTGGGGTTGGGCCCCTCCAGGTCTGGTACTTGCACGCTGTCTCCATTGTCCAAGTAGTCAACCTCACATGCTGAATTTGGGAAGAAGGGAGGAAAAGGAAGGGAAAAGGAAGTATTGATGAGACTTTGAGGAAATGGATAGAAGCTGAGAAGATCACGTAAGCAAGAGCCGAGGAGCACCTCTACTGACTACACTGATCGGGAGCAGCAATGGGGGAGCAACAAAAGCTATCGGGAAGTCAGCAGAAGAAGTTATGGAGTACTTACGTCTGTTTCCTGTCCTCTTCTTGGAATGCCTCTTTTTTTTCTTCTTCTTTCTCCTCCGTTTCTTCTTCCCGCCATCCTCACTCTCCTCGTCCGTGTCTCCATCCTCCCCATCACTCTCCTCCTTGTCTGCACAATCCGTCACCAAGCTCTTCTCTGCATCACCATCCGCACCTTCCGCACGTTCTGGAACCATCTGGATCCCCGAATCTAGCGGCCTTTTCCGTTGGGTATCTTCCAATTCTTCCTGGTCATTGTCATCCGCCTTAGAATCATTGCTGGCTGAATGCAAATTACTGTTTTCTTCATCTCGACCACCAGCATCAACACCATCATCACCCCCACCACCACCACTTTCAGCAGCCACACCACCACTATCGCCACCATCACCGCCAACATCACCACCACCACCATCACCACCACCACCTGAGTCAGAACTTTCAGTCAACGTCTTTCCAACATCCGATGAGCCATGCCCTTGGAGGTCATCGTTGTCAGCAATTGCGTCGTCCGAAACTCTATTGAAGTTACGTCTGTCAGTTGCATCTGAGATATGGCGTTCTGTCAGCACGAGCGATTCGCCTTCAGACGCATCGTTCGAATGACTTTCAGGCCGTCGAACGTCAACGAGCGAAGATTCTGCAAAATTAAAGTCAAGTGGTTAGGGGAGGACAAGATTTAGGAAAGTTGCAAGGAAAATGCAGAGGAATCAATAAGTAGACGCAACCCGCATTGCGATGGAATGCCAAAATGTGGGAGTAGAATAGCAGCACATGCTGCGAAACAGCGTCAAGCAAGTAACTGAATGAAGCTTCACCTTGAGAAAAGTCTGTAGGCTTCAAAACAGGTTCCTGCAAAAGGAAAAGCTCGGCATCATTTTCCAATCAGTGGACTGTTGACGAGGTTCTAAGGCAGAAAATCAGCTGCTTATAAACCGTGGTAAATTCGCAATGCCGCAATTACCTCGTTTAGGCTGCGTCTAGACGATAGAGCTTCTGCTGCTAATTGACCTGAGATCACAAACCAGAAATAGGGAAGTACATTATCGTTCCAGCTAACATTCAATCTAAAATGCTCCAGGGCAGTCCAGTGAAAGCTCACCTCGTCTATGGATTCTCCAGTAACCTAGAGGAATGCACACGACCGCAATCAGTGCAAGCGATATCATGCAGCACTTGAAAGCCGCTAAGCGTCCTCCTTTCTTTCCACTGTTAGTCCTTATTGGTTTCCGTTGCCTCGCCATTGTGGCTTATTCTTCTAGTATCATCGCCTGAACCCAGAAACAGTACTGCTTGATTGGATCCTAAAATAGCTATTTCCCCTGCGGGTCCACGGGCCTCCTATATAAGGCAAGCCTGATGGTATGCTACTTGCATTATATCAGTGAATTAATATCCTGGGAATCTTTTTGGTAGTTATTCCTTCCTGGATCCAAGTCTATTCCCTAGCTTTTCCTTCTGTGAATCCTTTCGGTTGGGTGCAGCAATCTCAATCTGCTCTGAAAACACACGAACCGTCGATTCTCTCAACTTCAACAACACAGATTCTACAGCACCAAATCCGACTTCCAGACGGCCAGCCTTGGGGATGTCAGGCAGATCCCCACCTATGATTGGTGCTCAGGAAGGCTTTCAGAATATATTTTCGCAAAGCAGGCGAAACCAGATTGGAGCCAGTTGCGAAGAGAATGAGTTACAGGCGAGACGTGGGGCAGAACCAAGGGAATTGTCGAAAGCGAGGCTCCTCCGATTGGTCAGAAGTATTTCGCCGATTGACAATCATCACTGATGTTGCTCTGACGTGGCTTGCTGTTGTTGAACCATTTCTGCGCCCAAAGTGCCCGTCAGCCGCCCCCTAAACTCCCCCAAAACCGCTTGGCCTTCATCCCCGTAACCCAGTCACCCCCTTGGAGTCTTCCCCCCCGGCTCCTTCCCCCCCAACTGCTGTGCGCAACAGCGTTTTTGCAAAGCTTCTTTTCCTTTTTCTCCACTTTCCCATTTCTTTGCAGTTCTCAGAAGCTCATTGCTGGCCCATTTTGCAGCAATTAGTAGCGCGTGCAGCTTCGTCCTTGCTCGAGCAGCATCCACGCAGTGATCTTCAATCCCTTTAGTGTTCAAGAAACATCTTTCCCTTCCGAACACTATCATGGCGACCATTGAAGCTCCTGCAGTGCGTGCTGCTGCATTGTCCACGTGTCAGTCTGGTCTGTCCGCGTCCAGCTCACGGCGAACCGTGGGATGGCAGCCCGTGAGCCACTCCGCTAGTTTTAACAAGCTCGCGAAGAGCGTTCGCGGGACCTCGAAGATTAGGGCAGTAGCGGAGATCAAACCAGCGGCTGCTGACTCAGTAAAGGTAGGCCTTTCGCAGTCCTTATTTCATCAGTATACGGAGATATCCATAAGACGGGTGGGAATTCTGACGATGTATTCTATCTCGTTTTGAGTAGCAGCGACAGTCATTTGACTTAGTCACATCTCCCATGATTCGTTGTGGGTGAGAACAGCGAAATAGAAGTGCCGTAAACCGTTAATCTGCTACACATCCGCTTCTGCTATACATCCGATCGTCGCCGGTCGCTTAATTTTCTTAATGTATTTGGCCTCCCTGCTTCATATAAGTTTGGAAAGATGGAAATTCTCCACCACTGACTTGTCACTTATCGTTCCTTCGTAAAACCCGTCAAATCCCTCCAGATGAAGGATCTTGCCCGCCCTGACTCGTTCGGCCGTTATGGCCAGTTTGGCGGCAAGTACGTTCCCGAGACCCTCATGGCCGCGTTGGATAATCTCGAGAAGGTTTATAACGAGACAGTCCAGGATCCCGCTTTCCAGGTAAGCCGATTTGAGTCTGATGCTGATCGCACTGGGGACTTTCTGTGTGAGCCCTAAACTGCAATTGTAAATGGAACGATATTTGCCAGTAGGAACGAACCCTACGTTCCTTCACGTTTCGAGACAGTGTTTCAAACGATCCTCAAAGAAGCGTGGTCCGCGATCGCCGTCTCTTCAGCCTAATCTCCGCTTCTTCTTCTCGTTATTTCCCACATTCCTTCTCAGGCGGAGTTCCAGGTGATCCTCAAGGACTACGTGGGTCGCAATTCCCTGTTTTCTCAACATCCCTTTCCCCTTTTCCCTTCCCCCCCTCATCCCCCGGCTCCCCCTTTCGTCTCATTGATTCCAGGCGGAGTTCCACTCGATCCTCAAGGACTACGTGGGTCGCGAGTCGCCGCTCTACTTCGCGGAGCGCCTCACGGAGCACTACTCGCGCCTCGACCCCGCAGATCCCTCGCGCCGCGTCGGCCCGCACGTGTACCTCAAGCGGGAGGATCTGAACCACACGGGCGCGCACAAGATCAACAACGCCATTGGTCAGGTGTGTGCGATGTGCGATGACTGGTCACATCCTTTGACGATGCGAAAGGCTTGCGCCCATTTGATTCCACGTGAACGAGCACGCCTACCCCTGCTCTCCCCTGGCCCTCAACTCTCCCCCCCCCCCCCCCCCTCACCCCCTTCCACTCCCTCACCCCCCCTTGCTCTCCCCCGCAGGTGCTCCTGGCGAAGCGCATCGGCAAGAAGCGCATCATCGCGGAGACGGGCGCGGGGCAGCACGGCGTGGCGACGGCGACGGTGTGCGCGCGCTTCGGGCTGAACTGCATCGTGTACATGGGCGCGGAGGACATGCGGCGGCAGGCGCTGAATGTGTTCCGCATGCGCCTCCTGGGCGCCGAGGTGCGGGGAAGAGGGGGGTGGGGGGTGGTTGGGGGTGATAAGAGAATTGGGGGGAGGAGGGGAGGGGAGAGTTGGGGGAGATTGAATTGTGGGTGTAGAAGGAGGGATAGAGGGAATGAGGGTTGAATTGGTGACTGAGGGTAAGGAGTAGCGGAAGTGGGAAGGGGCGGAGGAGGGAGTTGTTATGGGCGGAGGACGTAGGGCGTGGAGAGGGCGTGGTGTGGAGAGAGCGTGAATTGGGGAGGGCAGGAGTTGAAATCGTTCTTTAGCGTGAACTTCTGCATCACATCTGCCAATCTCACCCACTATCACCCACTATCACCCACTATCACCCACCATCACCCACCATGAATTTTTGACATCTTCACCCTCTTCCCCTCACTTCACGTGTCCGTCCCTCCACGTGTCCGCCCCTCCTCGTGTCCGTCCCCCCACGTGTCCAGGTGCGGGCGGTGCACAGTGGCACGCGCACGCTCAAGGACGCCACGTCAGAGGCGATCCGCGACTGGGTGACCAACGTAGACACCACGCACTACATCCTCGGCTCTGCTGCCGGCCCCCACCCCTACCCCATGATCGTCCGCGACTTCCAGGTACTTTTCTTCCCTTGCTTACGCATATAATCACACCTCATGGTAACGCCCCCATCTTCTCCTCCCCACTCCCACCCAACACATCTTCTCCTTTCGACCCCCAACCCCACCCCGCGCCTCTCCGCCTTCCGCCCCTCTCAAAATCGCGACTGGGTGACCAACGTGGACACCACGCACTACATCCTTGGCTCTGCTGCCGGCCCCCACCCCTACCCTATGATCGTGCGCGACTTCCAGGTACCTTCCCTCAACCTTACGCATATCCTCACACCTCATGGGAGCACCCCCAGCTTCTCCTCCCCAACCCCACCCCGCGCCTCTCCTCCTTCCGCCCCTCTCAAAATCGCGACTGGGTGACCAACGTGGACACCACGCACTACATCCTTGGCTCTGCTGCCGGCCCCCACCCCTACCCCATGATCGTCCGCGACTTCCAGGTACCTTCCCTTGCTCCTCTGTCAAGAATCCTCTCGGCCTTTCGCCCTCCCGCCTCAGTCGGATGCGTCTGACTGACCACCCCTCTCGTGTGTGCTGGAAGGAACTGAGTTGTTGCATGCAGCCCTATGGTTCCTTCCTTCATTGCACTCATAATCACGTCCCCCCCCTCTCCCTCCTAACCCCACCCACTCCACGGCTCTCCTGCTTCCGCCCTCTCAAAATCCTCTTACGCTTCCATTTCCGGTCCCTTCCTGCCCGTCAGGCCATCATTGGCCGGGAAGCCAAGAAGCAGTCTTTCGAGAAATTCGGCCGACTCCCAGACGTGCTGGTGGCGTGTGTGGGGGGCGGGTCGAACGCCATGGGGCTGTTCCACGAGTTCGTGGAGGACGAGGGCGTGCACATGGTGGGCGTGGAGTGGAGGCAAGGGGCACTCATGAGATGGCAACATCCACCCTCCCCGCCTGCCTGGCCCCCCAATCCCCTGCCTGGCCCCCTTCTGCCTCTGCTGATTTTCCCCTGAAAATTGCTTCCCGCCCTCCATTCCTTCCCGTTCTGCCCGTCAGGCCATCATTGGTCGCGAGGCGAAGAAGCAATCCTTTGAAAAGTTCGGGCGGCTGCCCGACGTTCTGTTGGCATGCGTAGGAGGAGGGTCGAACGCCATGGGGCTGTTCCACGAGTTCGTGGAGGACGAGGGCGTGCACATGGTGGGCGTGGAGTGGAGGCAAGGGGCACTCATGAGATGGCAACATCCACCCTCCCCGCCTGCCTGGCCCCCCAATCCCCTGCCTGGCCCCCTTCTGCCTCTGCTGATTTTCCCCTGAAAATTGCTTCCCGCCCTCCATTCCTTCCCGTTCTGCCCGTCAGGCCATCATTGGTCGCGAGGCGAAGAAGCAATCCTTTGAAAAGTTCGGGCGGCTGCCCGACGTTCTGTTGGCATGCGTAGGAGGAGGGTCGAACGCCATGGGGCTGTTCCACGAGTTCGTGGAGGACGAGGGCGTGCACATGCTGGGCGTGGAGTGGAGGCAAGGGGCACTCATGAGATGGCAACATCCACCCTCCCCGCCTGCCTGGCCCCCCAATCCCCTGCCTGGCCCCCTTCTGCCTCTGCTGATTTTCCCCTGAAAATTGCTTCCCGCCCTCCATTCCTTCCCGTTCTGCCCGTCAGGCCATCATTGGTCGCGAGGCGAAGAAGCAATCCTTTGAAAAGTTCGGGCGGCTGCCCGACGTTCTGTTGGCATGCGTAGGAGGAGGGTCGAACGCCATGGGGCTGTTCCACGAGTTCGTGGAGGACGAGGGCGTGCACATGCTGGGCGTGGAGTGGAGGCAAGGGGCACTCATGAGATGGCAACATCCACCCTCCCCGCCTGCCTGGCCCCCCAATCCCCTGCCTGGCCCCCTTCTGCCTCTGCTGATTTTCCCCTGAAAATTGCTTCCCGCCCTCCATTCCTTCCCGTTCTGCCCGTCAGGCCATCATTGGTCGCGAGGCGAAGAAGCAATCCTTTGAAAAGTTCGGGCGGCTGCCCGACGTTCTGTTGGCATGCGTAGGAGGAGGGTCGAACGCCATGGGGCTGTTCCACGAGTTCGTGGAGGACGAGGGCGTGCACATGGTGGGCGTGGAGTGGAGGCAAGGGGCACTCATGAGATGGCAACATCCACCCTCCCCGCCTGCCTGGCCCCCCAATCCCCTGCCTGGCCCCCTTCTGCCTCTGCTGATTTTCCCCTGAAAATTGCTTCCCGCCCTCCATTCCTTCCCGTTCTGCCCGTCAGGCCATCATTGGTCGCGAGGCGAAGAAGCAATCCTTTGAAAAGTTCGGGCGGCTGCCCGACGTTCTGTTGGCATGCGTAGGAGGAGGGTCGAACGCCATGGGGCTGTTCCACGAGTTCGTGGAGGACGAGGGCGTGCACATGCTGGGCGTGGAGTGGAGGCGGCGGGGCACTCATGAGATGACAACACCCACCCTTCCTGCCTGCCCCCCCACTCCCTGCCTGCCCCACCTCCCGCCCTCCCTGCCTGCCTCCCCAACCTTCCCTTCCTGTCCATCAGGCCATCATCGGTCGGGAGGCGAAGAAGCAATCCTTTGAAAAGTTCGGGCGGCTGCCCGACGTTCTGGTGGCGTGTGTGGGGGGCGGGTCGAACGCCATGGGGCTGTTCCACGAGTTCGTGGAGGACGAGGGCGTGCACATGGTGGGCGTGGAGGCGGCGGGGCACGGCGTGCACACGGACAAGCACGCCGCCACGCTCACCGCCGGGGAGGTGGGCGTGCTGCACGGCGCCATGAGCTACCTGCTCCAGGACAGCGATGGGCAGATCATTGAACCGCACAGCATCAGCGCCGGGTGAGTGGGTCTGAAGGGGGATTGGAGATGAGATGGGTGGGAACGGGTGTGGGTTCGTCTGGGTGAAAGGAGGAAAGGGGAGGACGAGGGCGTGCGCATGGTGGGCGTGGAGGCGGCGGGGCACGGCGTGCACACGGACAAGCATGCCGCCACGCTCACTGCCGGGGAGGTGGGCGTGCTGCACGGCGCCATGAGCTACCTTCTGCAGGACAGCGATGGGCAGATCATCGAACCCCACAGCATCAGCGCCGGGTGAGTGAGGAGTGGTTGGGAGGGAGTGCGATGGTGGGTTGAAGGAGGGAGGTGGGTTGGGTTGGAGGTGAAGGGAGGTGGGTGGGAGGACGAGGGCGTGCGCATGGTGGGCGTGGAGGCGGGGGGGCACGGCGTGCACACGGACAAGCACGCCGCCACGCTCACTGCCGGGGAGGTGGGCGTGCTGCACGGCGCCATGAGCTACCTGCTGCAGGACAGCGATGGGCAGATCATCGAACCCCACAGCATCAGCGCCGGGTGAGTGAGGAGTGGTTGGGAGGGAGTGCGATGGTGGGTTGAAGGAGGGAGGTGGGTTGGGTTGGAGGTGAAGGGAGGTGGGTGGGAGGACGAGGGCGTGCGCATGGTGGGCGTGGAGGCGGGGGGGCACGGCGTGCACACGGACAAGCACGCCGCCACGCTCACTGCCGGGGAGGTGGGCGTGCTGCACGGCGCCATGAGCTACCTGCTGCAGGACAGCGATGGGCAGATCATCGAACCCCACAGCATCAGCGCCGGGTGAGTGAGGAGTGGTTGGGAGGGAGTGCGATGGTGGGTTGAAGGAGGGAGGTGGGTTGGGTTGGAGGTGAAGGGAGGTGGGTGGGAGGACGAGGGCGTGCGCATGGTGGGCGTGGAGGCGGGGGGGCACGGCGTGCACACGGACAAGCACGCCGCCACGCTCACTGCCGGGGAGGTGGGCGTGCTGCACGGCGCCATGAGCTACCTGCTGCAGGACAGCGATGGGCAGATCATCGAACCCCACAGCATCAGCGCCGGGTGAGTGGGTTTGTAGGTGGGACGAGTTGGGTGGGAGCGAGCGTGTGTTTGTGTGTGTTGAAGGAGGAGGGGGGAGGTGGGCGTGCTGCACGGCGCCATGAGCTACCTGCTGCAGGACAGCGATGGGCAGATCATTGAACCGCACAGCATCAGCGCCGGGTGAGTGGAGTGATGGGTGGGAGCGAGTGTGGGGTGGAGGAGAGGAAGAGGTGTGGTGGAGAGGGAGGTGGGTGTGCTGCACGGCGCCATGAGCTACCTGCTGCAGGATTCAGATGCGCAGATTATAGAGCCCCACAGCATCAGCGCCGGGTGAGTTCTTGGCGGTTGGGAGGAGGGGATGGGAGCAAGTGTGTGTGTGTGTGTGTGTGTGTGTGTGAGTGTGTGTGTGTGTGTGTGTGTGTGTGTGTGTGTGAGTGCGTGTGAGTGTGTGTGTGTGTGTGTGTGTGTGTGTGTTGGAGGAGGAGGGGGAGGTGGGCGTGCTGCACGGCACCATGAGCTACCTGCTGCAGGACAGCGATGGGCAGATCATTGAGCCCCACAGCATTAGCGCCGGGTGAGTTGAGGAAGAATGTATGTGTGCTGGAGGAGGGGCAGGATGAGAGAGAGTAGCATTGGAGGATGGGGTATGTGTGGGTATGCGGCGGGGTTGGATTGGATGCAACCGATCAGGCCATGGGTGGAGGTCTACGCCTTTGAGAATTATTGATGTGGGGGTGGCGGTGCAGCTTTGAGTGGGGGAGCACATCATTCCAGTGTGATGTACTCAATGGGTGGGGTGGGGGACACAGCAACAAGCTGTCTTTGCAGAACACTGATGGATGCTGATTCGCTATTCCCACCAACCCCTCACCCTCCCTTGTCCTCTCCGCTCCTGAGTGGGGCCTGAGCATATAGCTTACCACCATTCCCTCACCTTCCTCTGTCCTCCCCGCACTCTGGTTTGTGCTTCCTTCCGCAGCCTTGACTACCCAGGAGTGGGTCCAGAGCACAGCTTCCTCAAGGACATTGGGCGAGCAGAGTACTTCAGTGTCACTGATGACGAGGCCCTGCAAGGTACGCGGGGAATGGGGGGAAGGTGCACTCAAATTCGGCCTTGACTACCCAGGAGTGGGTCCTGAGCACAGCTTTCTCAAGGACTTTGGCCGGGCAGAGTACTTTAGTGTCACTGACGACGAGGCCCTGCAAGGTAAGAGGGTAATTGGGGGGGAGGTGTTGTCAAATGCAGCTTTCTTGGCCGGACATAGTTCGTCAGTGTGACTGATTACAAGGCACTGCAAGGTAAGTGGGAAATGGTGAGGTGTATGGTGTGAGTGTAAAGTGCAAAAGATTTTAGAATATCGCCCCTGGGTTCTTAGTATATGTTTCTACCTCCTCTGTTCAGTGACTAGAGAATGGTTTCAAGATGGACCATGGTGGCATGCTTCCTTGATATTCCCCTTGTTCGTGCGCAGCATTCAAGCGTGTGTCGCGATTGGAAGGCATCATCCCCGCCCTGGAGACGTCCCATGCGTTGGCATACCTCGAGTACCTCTGCCCGCAGCTGGCCGATGGCACCAAGGTCATTGTTTGCTTTAGTGGCCGCGGCGACAAAGACGTCAATACCGTCATCGACTTGCTTGGTGACGACCTTTGAACCTCCCATTGTGTAAAAGCGGATTCTTCCTGATAATGGCATGAAGACAGTAAGGTACTTGCATCTGGGCTACCTCTGGCACAAATAAATAGATAATCGTGTACACTGCATGCCATAAAATTTCAGTACAGTTTCCAGCCCGCTTGGGTCATGTTTGTCTGTGTTACGAGTGCAATTGAGTGAACGAACGAGAATTGCACTATCGAAGCAAGAGTACAATGAGCGAAGGCATGAGCGAAGAATATATAGCGAAACTACAGTGGTAACGGTAATGTGTGGAAAATGGGGTGCGCGACGGGCCTGGTGCCGAGGTTGGGAAAGTGTCGAGGCGGAGGTCCGGAGCGCGGGTTACCAACCGAACCGTGAGGTTGGGTCGCGTCGTGAATGGTGGCGGGAATGGTGTCGAAGCGAGTGTCGCGAGTGGTAAAGGATTACTGTTGGGTGCTGTGGGTGGGAACAGTGGTGTACGCGCTTGAGCAGGGACGCGAAGTAAGGAAAAGGAATTTTCCTTACAGTCTGGTAAAAAGTCGGTCAGGGACCAAATCGTCGTCAGAACCTAAACTCACCGTCGCTCACCTGCAGCTGCACTGACTTGTGCGATTCGGCAGGTGCTGTGGTCGGACGGAAAAAGGCATGCGCGGTTCGATGTCAGAGCCTTCCATTCTGGTTTGGAATTCGGAAATCCCGAGGTCGCATCTCACAGGCACTCGAGGCAAGCTCGAGGTTGCACTTTGGATTGGAGCACCATGAAAACGGTCGAAAAAGCGAATGGCCCTTCTTGCTAGCAAATTGATGCACACTGAACTCCTTGATGAATTTCCTACCGACCTTGGTGCTGTCGAACAAACCAGCCCGCCTTTTTCCCAATTATCTCCGTTTCCTTCTTTCTGTGGACGCCTGTCCTAGTGAGCACAAGGAATTCTGTTAGTAACACGTCTCGTGTTACTTTTATGTAGCTTCACCTAGGTCTCGGAATCCAGAAGTCCCGGTGTTGCCTTGTGTTGAGTACACATCCAGTTACGAACTTGAAAGTGGATCTTGAGGGATCTTCTTTATCCGAGAGAACTTTAGAGTTGCTTCCCCGTTCGATCGAATCGTGTTTATATCCATCACAGGTCCCTGGTAGAATCACTAACCGGCATCACCCAAAACGCAAGAGAATCCGTTATCCTCATCAGCTTAGCTCGCCATGGCTCTGCGACAGACGTGCTTGCGAAGGCTATGCGGTAACCCGCCAGCGTCTTCTTTCGTCAATCACACCATCTGGCACTGCTTCGCTGCGTTACTGTTACTCGCCGCGGCGAGCAGCACGATCGGCGTGCAGCCTGCGGCCGCCGACGCATTCTCCCAGCCCATCGGCGTGTGCTGGGGCCGCAACTCGTGGCAGCAGATGCCGCCTAAAGCCGTCGTAAAGCTGCTTCAAGTAAGTTCACCAGGATTCGGCGACTACTACTCAGTTCCTAATCTATGTATTACACAATGACTAGGAGTTTCTCAGTTCCCCTCAGGACAACGGCAGCAAGCGGCGAAAGTCGTTTGCATAATGAGGAGTCCACGTTTCACTCTCACCTTCTGCTGCTATCACCCCTCCTTTCTATCACCCGTGCTGCAATCCCTCGTTTCAGGACAACGGCATCAAGCGGTTGAAGCTGTTCGGCGCTGACGTGGACATTTTGCGCGCGCTGGTGGGCACGGACATTGAGGTGGCCGTGATGCTGCAGAACGAGTATCTTAATCTCGTTGCCGGCTCGCAGAAGGAAGCGGCCAAGTGGCTCAGCAACAACGTGTCGCCCTTCGTGTTTCCCAAAGGAGCCAACATCAGGTAGGGACGCCCTTTTTATTAATTTCAGAAACGCCCTCCAACACAAGGTGTTTTTGAATCTTCTCCAAAACACCAACCAACATCATATACGCCTCGTGCTGGTGGGCACGGACGGAGATCGAGGTGGCGGTGATGCTGCAGAACGAGTACCTCAACCTCGTCGCCGGCTCGCAGAAGGACTCAGCAATAACGTGTCGCTCTTCGTGTTTCCTAAGGGAGCCAACATCAGGTACGGCTGATGCGGGGTGTTTTCTATATCTCTGAAAATCACCCTTCAGCATCAGTTACGCGTCATGCGGGGTGTTTTAGAAGTTCTCAACAACGCCATTTCCCCCTTCCCCCTTCCCGTCCCTGGGTGCAGAGAGATAGCCGTGGGGAACGAGCCCTTACTGCACGGGGTACCAGGGCATTTATGGAACTCTATGTGACCCCATCTCCCCTTTCCCTCACTGTCCTCTCCCCTCTTTCTCTGGGTGCGGGGAGATAGCCGCGGAAAACGAGCCGTTCCTTCAGGGCTACCAGGTCATAAACGAGCCGCTGAGATGTCCCCGTTCCCCATCCCTCCTCACCCCCCCTTCTCCCACTGTCTTCCCCTCCAACCTTTCCCTGATCGCAGAGAGAAAGCAGTGGGCTATGAGCCGTTCCTGCAGGGCTACCAGTGCATGAACGTTTCCTGTATGACCCCCCACCTTTTTCTCCCTCCTCCTCCGCTTCCCTTCCCTCCCCTCCTCCCCTAAGAGCAGGGAGATAGCCGTGGGGAACGAGCCCTTCCTGCAGGGCTATCAGGGCATGTACGAGCCAGCCGTGGTGCCGGCGATGCGGAGCATGTACAGCGCAGAGTCTATTTCTTATCCACCATTTGCTCCTCCCACTTACCTCCGCTTCCCTCCGCCCCCCCCTCTGCTTGCAGGGAGATAGCCGTGGGGAACGAGCCGTTTCTGCAGGGCTACCAGGGCATGTACGAGTCAGCCGTGGTGCCGGCAATGCGAAACATGTACAGTGCGTTACAGGACGCCAAACTAGACGACAAAATCAAACTCACCGTGCCTCTTAACGCGGATATTTTGGGAAGCTCGTACCCGCCGTCCTCGGGCGAGGTTCGGGGGGATATTTTGGAGGATATTACTGCGATTGCAGATATTTTGAAGCAGTCGGGTGGAACGTTCTCCATAAATATCTATCCGTTTCTGACGCTGCATCAGGATACGGCGGGGGATATAGGGTTGAACCAGGTTTTTTTGGGGCAGCCTGGCGGGCAGGCGTGGAAGTTCAAGGACCCCAAGAGCGGGCTGAAATACGACAACATCTTCGACGGCGCGTTTGATGCTGTGGTGGCTGCTCTGGAGAAGATCGGATACGGCAATGTGAGTGCAGGCTGAGGGGATTATATTGGGGCTGAATGTGGGGCCGGGGTTGAATGTGGGATCATTGTGGGCGTTTGATGCTGTGGTGGCTGCTCTGGAGAAGATTGGATATGGTGATGTGAGTGCAGGCTGAGGCTCCCTGTGGGGATTATTGTGGCGCTGAATTAAGGCTGAATGTGGGGCAGGGGCTGAATGTGGGGGTCGTTGTGGGATCATTGTGGGCGTTTGATGCGGTGGTGGCTGCTCTGGAGAAGATGGGATATGGCAATGTGAGTGGAGGCTGAGGCTTTATGTGGGGATGAATGTGGGGCTGAATTTGGGGCTGGATGTGAGGCTGAATGTGAGGCTGGATGTGAGGCTGAATGTGAGGCTGAATGTGAGGCTGAATGTGAGGCTGAATGTGAGGCTGAATGTGAGGCTGGATGTGAGGCTGAATGTGAGGCTGAATGTGAGGCTGAATGTGAGGCTGGATGTGAGGCTGAATGTGAGGCTGAATGTGAGGCTGGATGTGAGGCTGGATGTGAGGCTGAATGTGAGGCTGGATGTGTTGCCGGGGCTGAATGTGAGGCTGGGGATGAATGTGGAACTGAATGTGGTGTTCATTGTGGCATCATCATGGCATCGTTGTGGGCGTTTGATGCTGCGGTGGCTCGTGGGGCTTATTGTGGGCTCATTATGGGCTCACTTTGAGCTCCACACTGTGGGTCTCATAGTAGCTACCTCTCCTCACCTACCCACTCTTGTATGCCCACCAGACTTTTCCTTCACTTCGCTTTCCACCTTTTCCCTACTATTCTTCTCCTCCCGTTCCTCTCAGAACTCCCCGCTCCCCTTCGTCCAGTTCCTCCCCCTTTCCCTTGCCCACCACACACTTTGCTCCATAAGCCCGTCACTAGCCCCTCCTCCCTCCACCCTATTTCACCACACTCTTCCCCCTCCCCCCCCTCCCCTCTCCTTCTGCCTGCAGCTTCCGATCGAGATCGGAGAGATTGGGTGGCCATCCGACGGCCAGGGTGACACGAGGGGCTACGCCACAGTGGACAACGCCTATCGCTTCAACCAGGCCATTTTAGCCCACATGCTGTCAGGAAAAGGCACGCCCGCCCGCCCGAATCAAATCTTGAGTGGGTACCTCTTCGCGCTTTCAGACGAAGACCGGAAGATTACTCTTGCCGGCCCGTTCGAGAGGCACTGGGGGATTTTCCGCGCAGACGGGACCCCGAAATACCCCTTGGATTTAACGGGCGGCGGGAAGAATGTCACTCTGAAAAGTGCGACGGGGATTGTGCTGTATCCCGGGCGGTGGTGTGTGGCTAAGGAGGGTGCAGACCCCCAGAAATTGGCAGATGCGGTGACGTACGCTTGCGGGGATACGAAGCCTTCGGATTGCACGCCTGCACAGGTTGGAGGGTCGTGTTACTTTAATGGGAGCACAGCAAAGGTTGCGACCTATGCGTTTAATAGCTATTTCCAGCTGAATAACCAGTCAGGTGGGGCATGTGACTTCAAGGGGGTGGCTGAAGTGGTGCAGAACAACCCTACCCAGGAACAGTGTAGGTATTTATTGGGAATTGATCAAGCAGCCTCTAAGGCTGCTGGAAGAGGGATGGGTATGCGGGTTTGGAACCTACATATTCTTAGTATGCTTGTGGTTGTAGTCATGGGTGCCATGCTCCCCTAAGTGGGGAAGGGCAGCGGTTGTACTCCTTAAAGTGTTTTATTCAATATGACCATAATGGGCCCGATTAGTATGGGATATCCCGAATGAGACTCAAAACTAGGTATATGCTTTTCCGTGGTGGAAACCATTCCATAATATTAAGTACCGGTACATAAACAACCCTTGAGGTTGATGTTGTGTTTCAGCAAGTTTGTTGGTGAAAAACATGACCTATATTTCCGTCTATCGAAGAACTAACAACGCGAATGAAAGCGGTCAAACGGGGTTGAACAATCAGAGTGGGCAGACAGGACAAAAAAAGTTTTGCTTGTGGCGGCATCGCGCTTTCAACTCCTGCCGGACCGACCGTGGTTTTGTACTGTGACAGAAAAATACAGGGTAGCACTGGTTTGATAACATGTTTGGCGACGAGCCGAATCTACACGCGCATTTCTTCTGGCTTTTACGGTGCCCCATTCTGCTAAAAGATTTTCAGGTGACGGCTTCCGTGTTGAAGGGGCAACCTGGAGTTCCAGTCCCACAGATGCAAGATACAAGTGAAAAAGGATCCCGTCCCGTCCCGTCCCATCTCGTTCCGTTCCGTCCGTGAAAAAGTGAGTGGTGTTCGGTTCCGAGGCTGGAGAAGTGGTTTGGAGAGGGGGGGAAGGTTGGTTCGTCGTTGGGCAGGTCCCTCGGTTCTGGTTTTGCTGGTAGTGTGAGAGTCAAGGGTTCCCAAGAGAACCGCATTTCTGCTGGACCGCTGTCTCAGGAACTTCAGGTCTGCCTGAATGCTTCACTCTCCAATTTCCAGGCATCACTCTTCCAGCACCTATCCTCCAGCTCTAGTAGGTTTCCCAGGAGCTATCGGTTTTCGTTGGTAGCTTCACACGCAGCGAAACCGGAGATAGCTGTCGTCGGATATTTTGCTGGTGTTTTTTTTGTTCTAAATAGAAACTGGTGGATATAATGGGTGACCGGAGAGTGAAGTTTGCTGACGAGCGGTTGGCTCCCGGCCACGCTATTCATGGATCTGTCTTGGGTAGAAGAACAGGTATTTACTTGCTCTCCTGATTAACTTAGTGTCCGTTGCGCAGGAGCCTTTTCGTCGTCTCATTGCTACCATTTTTTTCCATTCCTTCTAAGATCGCTTATGCTCGGTTCCCCTTTTCATGGTCTAATGTAGACACATTGACACATTTCGCAAGCTTCAAATATACGTAACATCCATTGGCACATTTTTCCACCTAAATCAAGCGACGGTGTTCAACATTATTAACAATGATATAACTGCGGCATTTCGCGCAGAGCAACTGGAGTCGTTATTCAAGCTGGGGAAGAAGCTCGGCCAGGGCCAGTTCGGCGTAACGTTTCTCTGCACGGAGAAAGCCACGGGGAAGGAGTACGCGTGCAAGACCATTGCAAAGAAGAAGCTTATATCGAGGGAGGATGTGGAGGACGTGAAACGCGAGGTGGCGATTATGCATCACCTGGCGGGCCATGGCAACATAGTGTGCATCAAGGGAGCGTACGAGGATCACTTGAATGTGCACATTGTCATGGAGCTCTGCACGGGAGGCGAGCTGTTCGAGCGCATTATTAAAAAGGGCCACTACAGGTAAGCGTCGAGTGTACGCTGTAGCTTGTTTTCTCAAGTGCCGCCACATAAGATAAGTTTCATGGCAGACACATGGTGAACGCTTGCTGATGGGGTTACTCCTGAGTCATTAGGTCTAAGACTCGTCTGCACTTTTAACCATCTCCGGGGGAAGGCGAGCGCTTCGGGCGCTTCATTACAAAAGTTCATCACAAGTAAGCGTCGGAGTGTAACCTGTATCGTGGTCGTTTTTGTTTTTGTTTTATTTTGTTTTTCTAAAGTCTAATTATTAGTTGTCGCAACGTACATGGGGAGCGTTCGCTTCAGGCGGGAAATGTCTGGGTAACTAGGTCCAGGAGCCGTTTACAAAATACCATATTTTCGATCAGTGGAGGAGCCGTTGATGATTTCGTCGCACCAGCGTGATCAGTGTATGTGACTTTTTTTTTTCGTCTCCGAAAAGTGTTTTTATTTCTTGTTTCACATTCGATATAGAATTTATCGTTTTTGGTGAAGCAGCTTAAGCGTCGGAGTCCAGAACGAGTGAGGTTCAATTGCTTGTCAAGGACAGACAAACACATTCCACATGCGCTTGCATACGCACGCACATTCACCCGTCACACGCTCGCGCACACGCAGACTGACGCGCGCACGCACGCACACGCTCATACATGCATACGCGCCCACTCACCCGCGCCAACATGCAACCCCCAACTTTTGCCAGCCTGCTTCCTCTTCGCTTCCTTCCTCTGTTCTTCCTCCCAATTACCCAAATCCGTCTCCCCCTTCTACGTACCCCTTGCTCCTTCAAACCCTCCCCTGCCTTCCCCACAATCCCCGACTCCCCCCCTTGGCCGTCCTCCCCCCCCCTCCCCCCCCCCCTCTCCCCGCAGTGAACGGCAGGCCGCGGAGCTAACGCGGTCGATCGCGAAGGTGATAGAGGCTTGCCACTCGCTGGGCGTGATCCACCGCGACCTCAAGCCGGAGAACTTCCTCTTCGCCAGCAAGTCCGAGACCGCCGACCTCAAGGCCACCGACTTCGGCCTCTCCTACTTCTTCAAGCCAGGTGCGTGCAGTGCGGTGTAGTGCGGTGCATTGCGTGCTACGCCTCCCCAGGGGCCTATTGATAATTTTGTTTAGTCTTCTCTCCCACCCCGCTCTTCCTCATCCCCTTCCACCTGCCTCCGAACCCCCTCCCCCTCCCCCTCCCCCTCTCCCCACCCCTCCTTCTGCCCCATCATCCCCACTTCCTCTCGCCAGGCGTGTACCTGTCGGACGTGGTGGGCAGTCCGTACTACGTGGCGCCGAAGATGGCGTTTATTGCTTCCCCGCTTCCTCCCCCTCCCCCCTCCCCCCCCCCCCCCTCGTTCCCCCAGGCGAGTACCTGTCGGACGTGGTGGGCAGCCCGTACTACGTGGCGCCGGAGGTGCTGCGGCGGCGGTACAACGAGAAGGCGGACGTGTGGAGCATGGGCGTCATCATCTACATCCTGCTCTCCGGCGTGCCACCCTTCTGGGCAGGTGCGTACCTGTTATACGAGGCCTCCGTTCGCTGTTTGGGAATAAGAAAGTGATTTTGTGTTGTGTGAATCCCGCTCAGCGGCGTGCCAGTACGTGGTTAGATAAGCACGCCCCCTTCCCGTCCGGGCAGGTCTTTACCTATTGGAGAAGGCTTCAGTTGAGCTATAGGTGAAGGCTATTCGTAAGGCGGGTGTGTGGGCATGAGAGTCACTATGTACAGAAAGCGGAAGGGCAGTTGTCAGGTAGTCTGACTGCCACAGTTGTCAGGCGAATCCATGTTGATGGAGCATGTGCAGTGCAGCACCTTTTTTCACTTGGTCCTTAGGAACGTCCGTCCAGTTGGCAACTTATAGTGCTACCCTCTTCCCCCACTCCTCCGCTCCCCCCTCCCCCAACCTCTCCTCCCTCTTCTCCTCCCTTTTCTCCTCCTCCAACCCCCTCCTCCCCCTCCTCGCATTGTCCCCTCACCCCGTACCCCTCCCTCCCCGTTCTCCACGTGCGGACCCCACACACACAGACGGGAGCCGTGTTGCTTGGGGGACGGGACGTGCGCATTGAAGCACCGCTATGTCGTTGCTCACGTGCACACATATCCTCCCTGCTCCTTCATTTCCCTCCACACCCCTTCCCAGAGCTGGCGGAAAGGGTGTTGCGGGGCAAGCGAGGTGACTTTTGAGTCGACTCAAAAGTCCCTTCATTTCCCTCCACACCCCTTCCCAGAGCTGGCGGAAACGGTGCTGCGGGGCAAGCTGGACTAGTGCGTGCACACTGTTCTGCTGCAATGTCAATGCTCATGTGCACGCATTCCCCCCTGCCCCTTCACTCCCCTCCTTCCGCCCACTGCACCCCACACCCCACATCCCACACCCCACACACCAAACACCAGAGATGGAGCAGGGCATATCCGAGGCTATGCTGTGGGGTAAGCTGGGCTTGAAGCGTATTGAGTAATCACCATGCTCCCTGTACCCCTCTCTCCTCTTCGCCCACTTCCTCCCCGCTCCCCTCCTCCTGCAGAGACGGAGCAGGGTATCTTTGAGGCGTTGCTGCGGGGCGAGCTGGATTCTGAGTCGGTCCTGCTGCAATACCCATGCTCCCGTGCAAGTGTGTTGCATATTCCCTTGCCCTTTCACTTTCCCACATCTCACACCCCGCACTCCTCCACCAGAGACGGAGCAGGGTATCTTCGAGGCGGTGCTGCGGGGCGAGCTGCACATGGTGCGCATTGAGTTAACACCATCATTGTACCCCTTCTCCTTGTCGACCCCCTCCTCCCTGCAGAGACGGAGCAGGGTATCTTCGAGGCGGTGCTGCGGGGCGAGCTGGACTTTGAGTCGGACCCGTGGCCGTCCATCAGCGAGGACTCCAAGGACCTCATCCGCCACATGTGCTGCCTCGACCCGAAGAAGCGCTACTCCGCTTATGATGTGCTGTGTGAGTGCACTGCTCTCTCTATCAGTTGCCCTACGAGTTGCTCTGAATCGTTGTGTGAGTGGAGTGGAGGGGAAAAAGGGCAGGGCAGTGCACTGACCGTCCATCAGTGAGGACTCCAAGGACCTCATCCGCCACATGTGCTGCCTTGACCCCAAGAAGCGAAGCGCTACTCCGCCTATGACGTCCTCTGAGTGCAACGCTCTATGCCACTTGCCCTGTTAGTTGCTTTGTCCGTGTGTGGAATGAGGGAAACAGGGGAAAGGAGGGAAATGGGCGGGTGGGTCAGGTGCTTTGCCCGTGTGTGAAACGAGGGAAATAAGGGGGAAGGGCAGTGCCGTGGCCGTCCATCAGTGAGGACTTCAAGGACCTCATTCGCCACATGTGCTATCTTCCCCCCTTCCCATCTTTCCATCCCTCTCCCACACTCTCACTTCTCCCCTCCCTTTCATCAGACCAATCCCGTGGGTGGCCAAGGATGGATGGACTGGCGCTCGACAAGCCGCTGGGCTCGGCTGTCCTGTCCTGCCTGAAGCAGTTCATGTCACCACTTCACTCTGTCTCCCCGACGCCTTCCCCCTTCCCCCACTCCATCCCCTTCTCCCCCCACCCCCCTGCCTTCCTCCTTCCCCCGCCTCTCCCTGTTCCTCTCTCCCCTCCCTTTCATCAGGCCATCCGTGGGTGGCCAAGGATGGGTTTCGCCGTCCTGTCCCGCCTGAAGCAGTTCACGGCGATGAACAAGCTCAAGAAGATGGCGCTGCTCCTGCAATTCACGGTGTCACTTTTTTAATATTCCTCTCCTACATCCTCCCTCTCATCCCCTCCTGCCTTCCTCTCCCTCCTCCCTGCAGGCCACCCGTGGGTGGCCAAGGATGGCGTCGCACCCGACAAGCCGCTGGGCTCGGCCGTGCTTTCTAGGCTGAAGCAGTTCACGGCGATGAACAAGCTGAAGAAGATGGCGCTGCGGGTGATCGCAGAGAGCATGTCGGAGGAGGAGATCTCGGGACTCAAGGAGACGTTCAAGATGATGGACACCGATGGCAGCGGCACCATCACGTATGAGGAGCTGCGCGCCGGGCTCAAGAGGATCGGGTCTACGCTCAATGACATGGAGATTAAGGAACTCATGGATGCGGTGAGCTACTCATGAATGGGTGTCTCGGGCTTGGCTGTGCGTGTCTGGGCGTGGGGCTTGGTTGTGTGTTGGTATTTCAGGGCTCAAGATTGGGTCTGCCCTCAATGACATGGAGATTAAGGAACTCATGGATGTGGTGAGTGCTTGGGCTGGTCTTGGGGTTTGGTTTGAGTCGACTCAAAAGGCACCATCACATATGAGGAGCTGCGAGCTGGGCTCGAGAGGATCGGGTCGACTCTCAACGACATGGAGATTAAGGAGCTTATGGATGCGGTGAGTGGGTGCACGGGGCTTGGCTGTGCGTGTGTGGGCTTGGGGCTTGGCTGTGTAGGTACAGTGGTGTGTGCCGTGTGTTCCAGGTTGTGCAGCGGGCTGGGGTATGTGCTGTTCCGTCAAAGCTAAAGAGGATTCGTCTCCACCCAACAACATGGAGATCAAGGACCGCATGGATGTGGTGTGCCTGGGCTTGCATGTGCTAGAGTGGTGGGCTGCTGTAGTAAGCTGCTGTGTGTGCAAGTCTTCAGGGTGTTCAAGGCATATAGTTTTTTTTTCATTATTGACAACGCTCCACACCCCTGCTTCCCTCCCTCTTGGCGTCGCCAGTCACCCTTTCCATGTTTACCGAGACTCTGACGCACTGTCTTCCCTTCGCACCACTCATGCCTATGTTGACAGCAACGGAACCCTAGACTTAAGGGGTTTGTTTGTGCGATGAGTAGCTAATTCCCATATTATCGTATTCACCCCATATCTCCCACATCACTTATTGGCGGCATCACATCTCATCGGATAGCATCTCATCATCTCACTTACGCTCGCATCACAATCAGGCTGACATGGGTGGAGCCATTGACCATGGCGAGTACCTGAGGGGAACCCTGCAGAGTCTGATATTGTTACCTCCGTGTCCCACTCATCTCAATCCCCAATCCAGGCTGATATTGACGGCAATGGGACGATCGACTACGGGGAGTTCCTGGCAGCAACGGTGCAGCTGAACAAGATAGAGCGCGAGGAGACGCTGTTTGCGCCCTTCTCCTACTTTGACAAGGACTCGTCCGGCTTCATCTCCACTGATGTGCTGCAGGACGCACCCTGTAGGACGTTCCCTACAGGTCGCACCTGCAGCTGATTCTCATGTTGTTACCCCTCCATGTTTCCCACTCACCTCAATCCCCCAATCCAGGCTGACATTGACGGCAATGGAACCATCGATTATGGCGAGTTCCTGGCAGCGACGGTGCAGCTGAACAAGATCGAGCGCGAGGAGACGCTGTTTGCCGCCTTCTCCTACTTTGACAAGGACTCGTCCGGCTTCATCTCCACTGATGAGCTGCAGGACGCGTGCCGCGAGTACGGCGTCGATGAGGAGTGCATCGTTGAGACCATGCGCGACGTTGACACTAACAATGTGAGTGCAGCGGTTTGAGATAGATTGGAACGGCGTCCACGAGGAATGGAGTAGTGCTTTTATTCCGATCCGAGTGTCTTCCTGTCTCCGTTTTCTCCGGCTTGGGCTCCCTCATTTGTTTCTGTTTGATGAGTACCTGTCCTTTGTTTTTCCCTGCAGGATGGCATCATTGACTATAACGAGTTTGTTGCCATGATGAGGCAAGGGAACGGAGGGATTGGCAGGAAGAGTCTGGGCGGCAGCTGGACCAGTGGCAATCTCTTCCGGGACCTTGTGTCTGCCGGCCAAAAGGCCGGCCCCAACTCACCCCTGGCTTCCGTACAACCGTGACCTTGCTTTCGCTTATCCCATGTTTTCTAACCGACTTTGTTAATCACTCAAGACTGCATAGCATGTGTGAATTAGTACCTAGGCCGTGTGTTTGTGGGTAGTGTTTGTGGCAGGCCAGTCCAGGAGGACTGCTGGCCCTTTTTTTTCCCCTTGACATGCGTGCTCCACATGTGGGATTGTGAAATGTAGGTGTTGCAGCGTTCACATGAAGTGTTTTCTGGATAGATATGAATAATATGGCTTCAAAGTGGATTGAGGTCAAGGAGTGTTGTGCGCAATTTCTATAATATAGTTTCCTGGATCTGAATCCTATGCGTTTCCTTTGAGCGTGTATTACAGTATTTGTTTGGTCTTGTTTATCTCCGGGAATGCCCGAATGATGGCAGCGTCCACATGGTGACTTGCCTTCAGCTCTTGACGTTTCCCATCGGCTGCAGTACCGATCAGGATACGTGTAGAGTTCCAATGCCTGCTGCAATGATGACTGCTGCAGTTGCACACGGTAGATGATCTTAATGTGCGTCCACGTGTACTTCACAACGACAGGCATGCTGTCCAGTTTCGATGGCCCAGATGACTCGGCTTGGAAAGTAACATCCCGATATTATTTTGGGGCACCTACGGCACGATCATTCGGATTCACACAAGCAGTTTCGACAATAGAGAATTGCTACAAGTGGAACAAGGAGAGTGTAGCTGAACCTGCGACTCCAGGTTTCAGTTCCGAATCCAGGTTTTGCGGGTTGGTTGCCAGGGAAATAATCACGTTTGGGGCATTGCTCGCAACAATCGCGTGGGGGCTTGGACTGAAACTTCGGTAGTAACTTCTGCGGTCCTTCGTCATCAACAACGCGCCTCGCCGCTGGACGAAATCAACAACCGTGCGGGTTTCTTCCTCGGCTCGGACGGCTGATGCACGACAGTACACCCTCATTCTCGATAGACTGGCATATGTTATACTGACCGTGACGCTTAGTGTGACCGCACCGGACCCAAGAAGGTCCTATCACATGCGTTATAGTGACAATTTGACCCGGGGCGTTTAGTCAAGTTTTTTTACGTTTTGGAACGGAACTGTTGTTTTCAAAGCGGTTGGGATGGTTATTCAACGTTAATGGTTTTTTACGACCCAAGGCGTGTTTCAAACCCTCGTGCGACTTTGCCCGCAACAGAGTTATCTCACCAGCCCGCTACGTCCAAACACTGTAGCCAGTGCTTCCGCCGGTGAGATAGGTGAGAAAGAGGGTGTATAACACAAGTGAAACGCGAGGGACGATATTCAAGCCGAACAGCTTCGTCAGACAGCGTACAAATCGCCAACTGGACTGTGATATATATTTGTAGGAATCCTTCTTGTCGGTGGAACAACAGAGATGTTTCGGGCTTCCTGACGTCATCAAGTAACCAGGGTTCCGGCTTATTTCGTCTGCGACTGGGCAGCTCGCAATGGCTTCGGGAGGGTTACAGTACCGCACCAAGACCACGGACCTCAGGTTGGCGAAACTCCTTGCGAGTTCAGTAGACAACAGTTGCTTTGGATTGGACTCCTTGCTGGCGACATGCCACGATCATATGCTACGCGGCGACAATGCAATGACATCGCTTGCAATGCCTTTGGTCCCAAAGTTTCACCAACCACAGAAATGACATCGCTTGCAAGCTGAAAGAATTCCACGTCAACGCCAACGTCACTGACGGATGGAAGGAAGGCAGAAGGGGCACGGGGCGGGATGGACAGAATGCATCCAGATGCAACTGCCAGAACCGCGACGGAACCGTAAACGGAGGTCGGAAACATTCGCAACTTTGTGTAACTTGTGAATTCAGTTAGTGGCGGTGGTTTGCCCCGTCATTCAGCAACCCGCGCCGCAATGCTGAGTTCAGATGTCTCGATGACAATGCAAATGCGGCGCGGGTCAGCCCCCCTCACACATCACGCCCGCCCAAACCCTTGCCCCGTTTCAACTTTCAAATGAGGGCGCCCCTCACGTGGCGGACGCGTCACGCAATCCCCGCCCGCCTGATACCTTGGCCCGTTTCAACTTTCAAGCAAACCACACATGCCACAAAAACAGCCACCACCCAACCCACCGCGCCACCAGGTTTCTGTGTGTGTTTCACCTGCCATCATGTGATGATGGAAATTCGATTCGTCACCGCCTACGACATCAAGACCCGCGAGCGAGCATTGCAAGCAGAGAGCAGCGCGCGGCAGCAACACATTTGGGCAGGAAGCAGTTCTCCACTGGGTTTGCTTGCATCATGCGGGCAACCAAGGGGAAAAGTAGGCAGAAGGGGGAAAACGCACGAAGGAATCCAGGGCTTGGGGTGGGTTCGTACAGCGCGCATCCAATCCCGAGACGCGTCATCTGAGGGCAATCTCGATGGCAGCCCTTCCAGCTGTCCACCGTGGCCGTCGATCGCCTGCTCGTCTTGCATCCATCCCTCCACGCGTCCACCAGACATCATCCATCACATGTGCTCTCCAGTCCGCTCCTCGCCCCGTCCCATCGAGAACTTGACACCCCTCAACCTCGACACCTGCTCCCCTCCCTCCCTTCCTGCTTGCCCCTTCGTCCCTCGATATGATGTGTGTTTTACAGCGACATCGGAGCTTATATTTGACCTCAGTTCCCTCAAGCCCACCCTCAGGGATTCCTATTTTATTTTCGTACTTGCTGCTTGTTGAATCGACAGTGTGAACTGGCTATTAAAGTTCTGGTGGTAAATCTCTCTTCATACTTTGTGTAGCTTCTCATCCCTCCGTTTCTTCGTTAACGCAACCCAGCAAACCCTCCTTACTCTGCTCTCGACACTTTGGAATTTATCCGTCTAGTAAGCGGTTTCAACCGAAAGCCATGGATTTAGGTCTCTCAGACCTCGTAGCATGGAACTTACGGCATCACGTCCCCGCACCGACGCATCACGGTAGCGTGCCCGCTCAGGGCTCGTCCGACAAGCCCGAACCTGACGCCGAGCCTAACGCCGAGCCTTTCTCAAAGCGGCGCCGCCTCGAAGAGCCTTCTATGATGCTTCCGGACCTGGAAGCGGACTGCAGCTCTGACGTCAGCACTTCATCCGCAGAGCACGCAACGCAAGAGACGCTACAACCAACGCTACAGCCGCAACAACAGCAGCACCAGCAGCAGCAGCAGCAGCAGCAGCAGCAGCAGCAGCAGCGGAGGCCGGCGTCCCTGTCGGATTTGAGCGAGGATCTTCTATTGAAGGTGCTTCAATCGGGGCATCCGACGGCGTGGGATTTGTGCCGGCTCTCGTGCGTGAACCGGCAGTGGAAGCAGCTGTGCTACAGCCGCGTGTTCTGGACCAAGCTCCGCATCGGCCCGGGCAGCATGCATCCAGGTATGACCCCCCTCTCTCCGAACCGCTTCTTTCCGACGTGCCTCTCGTCGCAGCTTCAACGTTTGCAGCCCGTTAGAGTGTTTCTTACGTTTAGTATCATGCGCCCTGGTTCATCAAAAGTGCGCACATGTACGACATCCAACGTTTTCCGCAACTTCAACGGCGCAGCCCGTGAGATGTTGACGTTCAATCCGGTGCATGTTGTACGAGCCTCCTCTCTTCGCCCACGGCCGGAAAGCTGTTTCCGCATGACGTATATCATGCGTCGTCTACGCTTATAACACTCTGCGACACGTGTTTGCGATGTGAAACCACGGAAAGTCACCGCGAAGTTTGTTCACGTAGAGCCCCACCCTTAACTACGAACCAGCTCGAGTCCTTTTACTCTTTTTTTCCTCTCTCTCAAATCTGGCAACAGGGACCTCAGCTTTTTTGTCGTGCGATATGATTTTCTCTTACGCGCGTCATTGGCTACGGATTCGTCACGTCACCCGTCGAAAGCACCACGGATGATATATGTCGGAAGTGACACCGAATTCACCCCCTCCCTTCCTTCCTTTAATCCTCGCCCGCTCGCTCGCTCCGTTGTATCTCAGGTGTGGAGCTTCTCGCGGCGCGCTGCGCGAACCTGACGGACCTCTACGTGGACGACCCGCGGTGCGAGCTGCACATCCTGCACCCCATCATCGTCGCATGCAGCGACTCGCTGCGACGCATCGTCATCGACTGCGACCGCGACGCGACGAGTCGCAACGAGGCGGCCATATGCAGCATCCTCTGGATCATCTCTCTCTACTGCAAGAACGTCGAATCCGTCGAGCTCACATCGCACGGCGTAGAGACGTCCTTCGGTCTGCTCGAGGCGCGTTCCATGTGGTACCTCACGTCGGGATTCCGCTCCATGCGACAGTTTTCGTGCCTCGTGCGAAATAGTGTTACTCGCCAGGCCGTGTACCTGATGGTGATTGGCTGGCGAAACCTGTCGTGTCTGCGCATCCACATGGGGGCTTTAGAGGTCGAAGACCTATTGGCGCTGCGCAAGTGCACGTCTTTAAGAGTCCTGGAATTAGTAGGAGGCTCTATTCACACCCTACCCGCCGCTCTCGGCGCTCTTCCCTCGTCAGCCGCCGCGCCCGCATCCACTTTCCCCTGGCTCGGCACGAGCCGACTCGCCGTAGGCTCGGGAACAGGTTCGGGGACAGGCTCGGGGACAGGTTCGGCAGCGCCGGACGCGTTTCACCCGGAGCTGGAGGTGCTGATTCTGACGGACGTGGACTTTGACGCGGCGGTAGTGGCGACTATCGCGCTCCGGTGCCCCAACCTAAGGCGCATCGTGATTAAGGGCCTCTGCTGCGCCATGTGCGCTGCTGCTGGGTCCGCAGCTGCTGCAGCGGGAAGGGTGGGTGTAGCAGCGCCGGCTGTAGCAGCAGCGCCAGCGTTAGGGGCGGCTGTAGCAGCAGCGCCAACGGTGGGGGCGGCTGTAGCAGCAGCGCCAACGGTGGGGGCGGCTGTAGCAGCCCCAGCGGTGGGGGCACCTGTAGCAGGAGCAGCAGGGACGGGGATGGTTGCTCCTGCAGCCGCAGGGGCAGCAGGGAGGGCAGGAGGGAGTGTGATGGGTTTCCCGGCAGGTGGAACCGTGATGGCTGCAGGGGCAGTAGGAGGAGCAGGGGGAGCAGGAGGAGCAGGAGGAGCAGCCGGGGCAGGGCTAGGGCGGGCGGGGGAAATGAGCGGAATTTCTTCTGTGACCGACCCCAGGAGACTGACTGGGCGCATGGCAGTAGCAGCTGCGATTGGTGGCACTGCAGGCGGCGTGTTTGGAAGGCCTGTGCTTGCCAGCGCTGCTGTTCAGTCTGCTGCCGTGCCTGCTGCTGTGCCTGCTGCCGTGCCTGCTGCCGCGCCTGCTGCCGTGCCTGCTGCCGTGCCTGCTGCCGTGCCTGCTGCTATGCCTGGTGGTGCCGCTGGTGTTGTGAATGACGGTGCTGCGGGTGGGGCGTTATTTCCACCTGTCAACATGACAGTCCGTGCAGCGACGTGGGGTGTGGGTGCAGCACCTCTGGGTGCACCACCTGTAGCAGCAGGAGCAGCAGCTGTAGCAGCAGCAGGGGCAACACTACCCCCAGTAGCGCCAGGAATAGCAGGGAACCCACCTCAACCACCTGTTGCTGCTGCTGCAGGGATGGGTATGGGTGCTGGTGTGGCTGTAGGGGCAACTGCAGGGATGGGAGTGGGTGGAGGGGGTGGGCTGGTGGGGGTGAATCTGTGTGTGAAGGCCAAGGTGCTGGCCCTCAGGCAGATGCTTGCCATGGCAGGACGGCTAGACATGGTCACGAAATGAACATTTACGGTAGGAGGTAATTAGATTATGCTTGTGATGTACTGTGTATTGTGTATTGTGAATGTACAGCTGATATAAGCAACCGCAGGGCACAAACAAGAGTCATGAACCAGCCATCGCCAGTCCAGAGCATTGGGGGGCTAAGAAGCCTTTGCAACAGCTAAAATACTTGTTTTTCTCCACTGCAAAAGCCTCTGCGAAAGAGAAAGAGCCTGCCTTTCTGCACCAGGCAAGCCTTGAAAGCGCCACACACAGAACCGAAAACACTTGGGCAGGTGAAACTGGGCAGGTGAAGATGCCATATCAGGGCAGGCAGAACTGGCCTATCAGGGCAGGCGAAACCGACCCATCAGGGTAGGCGGAACTGGCCTAGCTTGCCCGGGTTAAACAGATTGAGCGGGTCCCATGCGGCCTTGAGTGCTGCCATGGCATCCAGTGCTGCCCTCCCATGCTCCGACTCCAAGAAGGGCAACTTGCCGTAGCTGCTCGGGGGATGTGCGCGGATGGGAGGGGAGAGGAAGGGGGATGTGGACGGGGGAAGAGGAAGGAGGAAGTGGGGAGGGGGCGAGAGGGGGAGATGGGGAAAGGGGGTTGTTTAGAATGGTGTGTTGTGCCGAAGAGGTTGAGTGGGTCCCATGCGGCCTTGAGTGCTGCCATGGCATCCAGTGCTGTCCTCCCATGCTCCGACTCCAAGAATGGCAACTTGCTGTAGCTGCTTGGGGGATGTGTGAGGGGGTGAATGGGAGGGGAGAAGGGGGAGATGGGGAGGGGAGGAAAGGGGAGATGGGAAAGGGGAGATGACACAGGCGAGTCATGATGCCTTCCATAAGAGAGTGCATATCACCTCAACCCAACCCTTGCCATGCCACTAGCCCCACCACATGCCACTCACCCAACTCCATGCCACTCCCTGCATTCCATGCCACGCCATGTGCCATGCCACTAGCCCCACCCCATGCCACTCACCCAACTCCATGCCACTCCCTGCATTCCATGCCACGCCATGTGCCATGCCACTAGCCCCACCCCATGCCACTCACCCAACTCCATGCCACTCCCTGCATTCCATGCCACGCCATGTGCCATGCCACTAGCCCCACCCCATGCCACTCACCCAACTCCATGCCACTCCCTGCATTCCATGCCACGCCATGTGCCATGCCACTAGCCCCACCCCATGCCACTCACCCAACTCCATGCCACTCCCTGCATTCCATGCCACGCCATGTGCCATGCCACTAGCCCCACCCCATGCCACTCACCCAACTCCATGCCACTCCCTGCATTCCATGCCACGCCATGTGCCATGCCACTAGCCCCACCCCATGCCACTCACCCAACTCCATGCCACTCCCTGCATTCCATGCCACGCCATGTGCCATGCCACTAGCCCCACCCCATGCCACTCACCCAACTCCATGCCACTCCCTGCATTCCATGCCACGCCATGTGCCATGCCACTAGCCCCACCCCATGCCACTCACCCAACTCCATGCCACTCCCTGCATTCCATGCCACGCCATGTGCCATGCCACTAGCCCCACCCCATGCCACTCACCCAACTCCATGCCACTCCCTGCATTCCATGCCACGCCATGTGCCATGCCACTAGCCCCACCCCATGCCACTCACCCAACTCCATGCCACTCCCTGCATTCCATGCCACGCCATGTGCCATGCCACTAGCCCCACCCCATGCCACTCACTCACCCCACCCCGTGCCATGCTCGCAGCTGCATGTGCTGCCCACTGCAATAGCACGAGCCACAGTTGACTTGTTTGACTGCTGCCAGCTCATGACATGCCCACTCACCCCACCCCGTGCCATGCCACTCACCCTGTTCCAATCCATCCCATGCCACTCACCCCACACCATGCTCGCCACTGCATGTGCCGCCCACAGCAATGGCACGCGCCACAAGACTGTCGTTGACTCGCTTGACCGCATGCCACGCAATTGAACCACTCACCCTGCCCCAATCCATCCCACGCGACTCACCCAACACCATGCTCGCCGCTGCATGTGCCGCCCACAGCAATGGCACGCGCCACAAGACTGTCGTTGACTCGCTTGACCGCTGCCAGCTCATCCTGGTTGTCTGGATCCACCTGTTGCACGGAGAAGACGTGTGCCAGACAGCATAGGTCGATAAAACCATCTGAGCTTCGAGACGTCTCAGAGACGTCTCAAAAAGAGACGGTGGAAGCCAGTTGAGGTGGGGCTGTGACTAGCCCCCTTGTGTCCCACTACTGGCTTTCTTCAAAGAGCAGCACCACGTGTTCCGCTATAGGCGCCAACAGCTGTGCCTGAGCAGCACCTTGAGCAGGCGCAGCTGTTGGCACCTATAGTGGAAGTTGCCGTCTCACACATATGCCCCGGTATAGGCGCCACCAGCTGTGCATGGTGAATCTGCTGCTTCGCCGCGTGATCCACATGCCCCCCACATGCCCCCCACATGCCACCCACATGCCACCCACATGCCACCCACATGCCACCCACATGCCACCCACATGCCCCCCACATGCCCCCCACATGCCCCCCACATGCCACCCACATGCCCTCCATATGCAACCCACATGCCCCCCACATGCCACCCACATACCCCACAACCAGCTCACAATGAAGAGCACGTGGAAGTTGCCATCCCCCACGTGGCCCACTATGGGCGCCACCAGCTGAGCCTGCTCTATCTGCTGCTTCGCCAGCACCACCAGCTCTGTGAGCCGCGATATGGGTACACACACGTCCGCTAGGAGGCTGGAGTAGGGTGGGGAGAAGGAGGGAGGGGGAGCAGGGGGGGAGGGAGAGGGGTTGGATGGGACGGTTCTACTTCGCCAGCAGCACCAGCTCTGTGAGGTGCGATATGGGCACACACACGTCCGCTAGCAGGCTGGGGGCGAAGGGGAGGGATTGGGCAACGACAGTAGGAGGGGGGTGGTACATTGGGAAGAGTGTGTGAATATCAAAGACGAGTTACCAGCTGAGCCTGCTCTATCTGCTGCTTGGCGCGCAGCCCACAGCTTGGATCGCTCCTCAGGGGCCGTTGAAAGCGATACCGTGCGGTGCAGTGAGGTGCAGTGGGACGCAGTGGAAACATCACATACCCTTTGCTGTTCGGTCTGAGGGCCAAGGCAGCGTAGTAGGCAGAGTGGCGGGCATCCCAGAGCTTGGATCGCTCCTCAGGAGCTGATGACCACTCAAACGAGCCCCCGCCGTAGCCAGATGCAATCTCCGAAACCTACGATGCAGTGGGGAGGTGACTGGGTCGGTTGATCTTCCTTGATTGGACGAAAAGGGACAAGATGAGTGCGGTGCAACAAGATGCATTGCGATGGAGCTCGGTTTAGGATGCAGGGGAGCGCGTTGCAATTCTCACCACCCAGGTAGGTAGGAGCGAGGCAAACAGAGCTGGAAGGAAGTTTACCTGCGTGGCTTTGCTCCTACCTTATTAGCTTGCTCCTCCACAGCAGCAGCAGTGCCGTGAAACTCAAAGAGGAGCACTGGGAGCTTCACACTCGCGATGATGAGTTTCACTCCCAGCAGCCCCGCAAACCACTCACGTCTGAAGAGACGTGTAGAAAGAACATTTTTGAGACGTCTCAAAAATGTTCTTTCTACACGTTTTGAGACGTCGCAAAAATGTTCTTTCTACACGTTTTGAGACGTCGCAAAAATGTTCTTTCTACACGTTTTGAGACGTCTCAAAAATGTTCTTTCTACACGTTTTGAGACGTCTCAAAAATGTTCTTTCTACACGTTTCGAGACGTCTCAAAAATGTTCTTTCTACACGTTTCGAGACGTCTCAAAAATGTTCTTTCTACACGTTTCGAGACGTCTCAAAAATGTTCTTTCTACACGTTTCGAGACGTCTCAAAAATGTTCTTTCTACACGTTTCGAGACGTCTCAAAAATGTTCTTTCTACACGTTTCGAGACGTCTCAAAAATGTTCTTTCTACACGTTTCGAGACGTCTCAAAAATGTTCTTTCTACACGTTTCGAGTCGTCTCAAAAATGTTCTTTCTACACGTTTTGAGACGTCTCAAAAATGTTCTTTCTACACGTTTTGAGACGTCTCAGAAATGTTCTTTCTACACGTTTTGAGACGTCTCAAAAATGTTCTTTCTACACGTTTTGAGACGTCTCAAAAATGTTCTTTCTACACGTAGCACTGGGAGCTCACTCCCAGCAGCCCTGCAATCCACTCACGTCTGAAGAGCCCCACACCTCACCCACCCTCCTCCCTCCCTCCCTCCCTCCCTCCGTCCCTCCCTCCGCCCCACCTGCTTGGCTTGCTCCTCCACAGCAGCAGCAGTGCTCCTCCATCTGCTTCACTTTACCTCCATCCATATGAAGAGGCCCCCACCCACCTAACCCCCTACCTCCCTCCATATGAAGAGGCCCCCACCCACCTAACCCCCTACCTCCCTCCCTCCCTCCGCCCCACCTGCTTGGCTTGCTCCTCCACGGCAGCAGCAGTGCCGTGGAACTCAAAGAAGAGCGTGGGACTCAGGTGCAGGTGCGTCTTGGAGTAGCGGTTCACTGCGTCCACCTGGAGTTTGGCATATGGGAGGGGGCATGGGGGAGGTATGCGCTGATGCGACGTCTTGAATGGAACTCAAAAAAGAGCGTGGGACTCAGGTGCAGGTGCGTCTTGGAGTAGCGGTTCACTGCGTCCACCTGGAGTTTGGCATATGGGAGGGGGCATGGGGGAGGTATGCGCTGATGCGACGTCTTGAATGGAACTCAAAAAAGAGTGTGGGGCTCGGGTGCAGGTGCGTCTTGGAGTAGCGGTTCACTGCGTCCACCTGAGGGGATTCACAGAAAGGGGAGGGAGGGGGGGGGGGGGGGGGGGGGGGGAGGGTGAACATGAGAGGCGAAATCACTCTTGAGAAATCTTGAGATCGGTTCAGCATCACTATCGGCGTCATTGCGGTCTATTTTTGAGGCGCCTAAAAAATCTTGAGATCGGTTCAGCATCACTATTGGCGTCATTGCGGCAAGTACTCTTGGGGCGGCTCAAAAGGTGAGGGAGGAATGAGCAGCTGAATGGCTCACGCGTGTGTGTGAGGTAACAGGGGTCCTCACTCACTCATGGGGAAGAGCTGCAACATGGAGTCCTTTTCGCAGAAAGGATCAGAGCCTGTTACTATCTTCCGCTAACTAGAGCTTCAACTAAGAACAAGGCTTGCGAGGAAACTTGGATATTGATTTAAACAAGAAAACAAACATTTTCTGGCCTCTCGCGGGGGAAAACCCGATTAGACCTTCATCAGTGTCGAAATCGAAAGGCGAGGGAGGAATGAGCGGCTGAATCGCTCATGCGCCACGATCGTCATTCATTCATTGCAGAAAGTACCCGTTGCTGAGTCTGGTCGTTGCAGGTTTCATCGTTGATTGTGATTTCTTTAGCAAGCTGACTGTTTTCACTCGTGTGAGCTCACCTGCACTCTGCCCAGGAGCTCTATGCAAAGGCAACATGTGACGGGAATGTTCTTTGAGGTGAGGATTCTGAGAGGGAAGAAAAGCACCCCACCTGCACTTCGTCCAGCAGCTCTATGCGTGCTACGGGGATGGCGCTTTGAATCGTCTCTATCACCGTGTCCACCTGAGGGGTGCGGGTGCGGGTGTAGGAAAGGGTGTGGTGGTGTGTGTTGATGTGGGTGTGTTGGTGTGGTGGCGTGTGTGTGACTGGTGAATGAGGGGTGAGACGGGGATGGCGGTTTGAATTGTCTCGATCACTGTGTCCACCTGAGGGTGAGGATGCATGGGGGGTGAGGTGGTTCATTGGTGGATGAGTGGTGGGTGAGGGGTGGATGAGTGGTGGATGAGTGGTGGGTGAGGGGTGGATGAGTGGTGGATGAGTGGTGGGTGAGGGGTGGATGAGTGGTGGATGAGGGGTGGGGTGGATGAGTGGTGGATGAGGGGTGGATGAGTGGTGGATGAGGGGTGGATGAGTGGTGGGTGAATGGTGGTGACGTAATAAATAAGTGAGTGATGGGTGAGATGATGGGGACATGGTGGATACGGTGGGTGTGTTGCAATGCAAGTGCGGGGAAACTGTCTCGATTACCACGACCTCCTGAGGGTGAACAATGAACTCGTAGCACCGGCGATGGAGTTGAATGGGCAGACAGCAGCTGAGAGGAAAAGAGTGTGACTGTGTGCTCACTCTGGAGAGTGGGAAGGCGGAGAGGGGAAGTTGGAGGAGGAGAGAGCGTGGAGAGGTGAATGTACTCACAGCACCGGCGATGGAGGTGAAGGGGCAGACAGCAGCCGAGACAGCCTCGGGTTGGGGATACAGGCGAAGAGCTACCTGCATACATTGTGCACGTTGCATGGGGCATGTGGAATGATGCATGGGGCATGTGGAATGATGCATGGGGCATGTGAAATGATGCATGGGGCATGTGGAATGATGCATGGGGCATGTGGAATGATGCATGGGGCATGTGGAATGATGCATGGGGCATGTGGAATGATGCATGGGGCACGTGGAATGATGCATGGGGCATGTGGAATGATGCATGGGGCATGTGGAATGATGCATGGGGCATGTGGAATGATGCATTGGGCATGTGGAATGATGCATGGGGCATGTGGAGGGCATGTGGAATGATGCATGGGGCATGTGGAATGATGCATGGGGCATGTGGAATGATGCATTGGGCATGTGGAATGATGCATGGGGCATGTGGAATGATGCATGGGGCATGTGGAATGATGCATGGGGCATGTGGAATGATGCATTGGGCATGCGGCATGCGGCATGAGGCGAAGAGACACAAGCAAGCATGGTGGATGGGAAGGTTGGTTGTGGTGGCGTGGAGTGTGGAGGAGGAAGGGAAACCTGCGGGCACTTTGCATCAGCCAACGCCACCACCACCACAACTACCACAAACGCTGCACTCAGATTGGTGACGCACGCGGTTACACCTGCATGGAAACCTCAGCATGAGTGAGTGCGCCTAAAAAATCGATTCATGTGACGCACGCTGTTACACCTGCCTAAAGTTTTAACAAATTCCCGTGGAACGGTGCCCACCTTTCTTGCGAGATCCTGTTTTCACTCAGTTATTGACCCTGGTGCTAAAGCGTCACCTCACACACTACTGTTGCCCCATAGCTCGGTGACTTCTGTGCCTTGGTGACTTCCATACCTCGGTGACAACAGCCAGTGTTCCCTCGCTCCCCACGATCAGGCGAGTCAGATCATACCTGATGGAAAGGCACACAGGCGGGCACGGCAGCAGGGGCGCATAGAGGCGGGGAAGGGTAGGGTGGGGAGGTGGAGAGGGGTGGGTGAGGAGAGAGGAGGGGGAAGTGGGGGTTGAAGCAAGAGGGAGCAGCGGAAAGGGGGAGAGGTGAATGACCACGAGAGGGGTGAATAGGGTGAGTGGGGTGAGTGGGGTGATGGGGACGAAGAGGGGGTTGAGAGGGGTGAGAGGGAGTAGAGAGGGGTGAGTGGGGTGATGGAGGGGGGAGGGCGGATGGGCCTAGTAATCGCGTTGGGTGCTTGCAGTAACTACAGGAAGGCAGTGGAATGGGAGACACGGCGGGCAGCTCACCCAGAGGAGGACTTTCGTGCTCGGCTGCCCGTTTTTATGACCTGCCCGTTGGGCAGCACTGCTGTGACCCCCAGCACTGCCTCTCGCATCGTGCCGTACCTGGTGTGCGGTGGGAAAGGGTGGGGCATGGTGAGGTGTGGTGGTGAGTAGACGATATTGGGGAAGGGAAAAAAGAGGGGGAAGGGGAAAGGTTGGAAAGGAGGCGGAAAGTGGGAAGGAGCAAAAGGGGGATGGAAAACATAACGCGGAGAGAAGGCATGGCATGGATGGCATGGATGGCATGGATGGCATGGGATGGCATGGATGGCATGGATGGCATGGGATGGCATGGGATGGCATGGATGGCATGGATGGCATGGGATGGCATGGGATGGCATGGGATGGCATGGATGGCATGGGATGGCATGGGATGGCATGGGATGGCATGGATGGCATGGGATGGCATGGATGGCATGGGATGGCATGGATGGCATGGGATGGCATGGGATGGCATGGGATGGCATGGATGGCATGGGATGGCATGGATGGCATGGGATGGCATGGATGGCATGGATGGCATGGGATGGCATGGGATGGCATGGGATGGCATGGGATGGCATGGATGGCATGGGATGGCATGGGATGGCATGGGATGGCATGGGATGGCATGGATGGCATGGGATGGCATGGGATGGCATGGGATGGCATGGATGGCATGTGATGGCATGGGATGGCATGGGATGGCATGGATGGCATGGGATGGCATGGATGGCATGGGATGGCATGGATGGCATGGGATGGCATGGGATGGCATGGGATGGCATGGATGGCATGGGATGGCATGGGTGGCATGGGATGGCATGGATGGCATGGGATGGCATGGGATGGCATGGGATGGCATGGATGGCATGGATGGCATGGGATGGCATGGGATGGCATGGGATGGCATGGGATGGCATGGATGGCAGGGATGGCATGGATGGCATGGGATGGCATGGATGGCATGGATGGCATGGATGGCATGGGATGGCATGGGATGGCATGGGATGGCATGGATGGCATGGGATGGCATGGATGGCATGGATGGCATGGGATGGCATGGATGGCATGGGATGGCATGGGATGGCATGGGATGGCATGGGATGGCATGGATGGCATGGGATGGCATGGGATGGCATGGGATGGCATGGATGGCATGGGATGGCAGGGATGGCATGGGATGGCATGGATGGCATGGATGGCATGGGATGGCATGGGATGGCATGGATGGCATGGATGGCATGGGATGGCATGGGATGGCATGGGATGGCATGGGATGGCATGGATGGCATGGGATGGCATGGGATGGCATGGATGGCATGGGATGGCATGGGATGGCATGGGATGGCATGGGATGGCATGGGATGGCATGGATGGCATGGGATGGCATGGGATGGCATGGGATGGCATGGGATGGCATGGATGGCATGGGATGGCATGGGATGGCATGGATGGCATGGGATGGCATGGGATGGCATGGGATGGCATGGATGGCATGGGATGGCATGGATGGCATGGGATGGCATGGGATGGCATGGATGGCATTGGATGGCATGGATGGCATGGATGGCATGGATGGCATGGGATGGCATGGATGGCATGGGATGGCATGGGATGGCATGGATGGCATGGGATGGCATGGGATGGCATGGATGGCATGGGATGGCATGGATGGCATGGATGGCATGGGATGGCATGGATGGCATGGGATGGCATGGGATGGCATGGATGGCATGGGATGGCATGGGATGGCATGGGATGGCATGGATGGCATGGGATGGCATGGGATGGCATGGATGGCATGGGATGGCATGGATGGCATGGCATGGCATGGATGGCATGGGATGGCATGGGATGGCATGGATGGCATGGGATGGCATGGGATGGCATGGATGGCATGGGATGGCATGGATGGCATGGATGGCATGGGATGGCATGGGATGGCATGGATGGCATGGGATGGCATGGATGGCATGGGATGGCATGGGATGGCATGGATGGCATGGGATGGCATGGGATGGTATGGATGGCATGGGATGGCATGGATGGCATGGGATGGCATGGGATGGCATGGATGGCATGAGATGGCATGGGATGGCATGGATGGCATGGGATGGCATGGATGGCATGGATGGCATGGGATGGCATGGATGGCATGGGATGGCATGGGATGGCATGGATGGCATGGGATGGCATGGGATGGCATGGGATGGCATGGATGGCATGGGATGGCATGGGATGGCATGGATGGCATGGAATGGCATGGATGGCATGGGATGGCATGGGATTGCATGGATGGCATGGGATGGCATGGGATGGCATGGATGGCATGGGATGGCATGGATGGCATGGATGGCATGGGATGGCATGGATGGCATGGGATGGCATGGGATGGCATGGATGGCATGGGATGGCATGGGATGGCATGGGATGGCATGGATGGCATGGGATGGCATGGGATGGCATGGATGGCATGGGATGGCATGGGATGGCATGGATGGCATGGATGGCATGGATGGCATGGATGGCATGGATGGCATGGATGGCATGGATGGCATGGGATGGCATGGATGGCATGGGATGGCATGGATGGCATGGATGGCATGGATGGCATGGGATGGCATGGGATGGCATGGATGGCATGGGATGGCATGGGATGGCATGGATGGCATGGGATGGCATGGATGGCATGGGATGGCATGGGATGGCATGGATGGCATGGGATGGCATGGGATGGCATGGATGGCATGGGATGGCATGGATGGCATGGGATGGCATGGGATGGCATGGATGGCATGGGATGGCATGGGATGGCATGGATGGCATGGGATGGCATGGATGGCATGGGATGGCATGGATGGCATGGATGGCATGGGATGGCATGGGATGGCATGGGATGGCATGGGATGGCATGGATGGCATGGGATGGCATGGGATGGCATGGATGGCATGGGATGGCATGGATGGCATGGATGGCATGGGATGGCATGGGATGGCATGGGATGGCATGGGATGGCATGGATGGCATGGGATGGCATGGGATGGCATGGGATGGCATGGGATGGCATGGGATGGCATGGGATGGCATGGGATGGCATGGGATGGCATGGGATGGCATGGGATGGCATGGGATGGCATGGGATGGCATGGGATGGCATGGGATGGCATGGGATGGCATGGGATGGCATGGGATGGCATGGGATGGCATGGGATGGCATGGGATGGCATGGGATGGCATGGGATGGCATGGGATGGCATGGGATGGCATGGGATGGCATGGGATGGCATGGATGCATGGGAATGGCATGATGGCATGGGATGGCATGGGATGGCATGGGATGGCATGGGATGGCATGGGATGGCATGGGATGGCATGGATGGCATGGGATGGCATGGATGGCATGGGATGGCATGGGATGGCATGGGATGGCATGGGATGGCATGGATGGCATGGGATGGCATGGATGGCATGGGATGGCATGGGATGGCATGGATGGCATGGGATGGCATGGGATGGCATGGATGGCATGGGATGGCATGGATGGCATGGGATGGCATGGGATGGCATGGATGGCATGGGATGGCATGGGATGGCATGGATGGCATGGGATGGCATGGATGGCATGGGATGGCATGGGATGGCATGGATGGCATGGGATGGCATGGGATGGCATGGATGGCATGAGATGGCATGGGATGGCATGGGATGGCATGGATGTCATGGGATGGCATGGGATGGCATGGATGGCATGGGATGGCATGGATGGCATGGGATGGCATGGGATGGCATGGATGGCATGGGATGGCATGGATGGCATGGGATGGCATGGATGGCATGGCATGGCATGGATGGCATGGGATGGCATGGGATGGCATGGATGGCATGGGATGGCATGGGATGGCATGGATGGCATGGGATGGCATGGATGGCATGGATGGCATGGGATGGCATGGATGGCATGGCATGGATGGCATGGATGGCATGGGATGGCATGGGATGGCATGGGATGGCATGGGATGGCATGGGATGGCATGGGATGGCATGGGATGGCATGGATGGCATGGGATGGCATGGGATGGCATGGATGGCATGGGATGGCATGGATGGCATGGGATGGCATGGGATGGCATGGATGGCATGGGATGGCATGGGATGGCATGGGATGGCATGGGATGGCATGGATGGCATGGCATGGCATGGATGGCATGGGATGGCATGGGATGGCATGGATGGCATGGGATGGCATGGGATGGCATGGATGGCATGGGATGGCATGGGATGGCATGGATGGCATGGGATGGTATGGATGGCATGGGATGGCATGGGATGGCATGGATGGCATGGGATGGCATGGGATGGCATGGATGGCATGGGATGGCATGGATGGCATGGATGGCATGGGATGGCATGGATGGCATGGGATGGCATGGGATGGCATGGATGGCATGGGATGGCATGGGATGGCATGGGATGGCATGGATGGCATGGGATGGCATGGGATGGCATGGATGGCATGGGATGGCATGGATGGCATGGGATGGCATGGATGGCATGGGATGGCATGGGATGGCATGGATGGCATGGCATGGATGGCATGGATGGCATGGGATGGCATGGGATGGCATGGATGGCATGGGATGGCATGGGATGGCATGGATGGCATGGGATGGCATGGATGGCATGGGATGGCATGGGATGGCATGGATGGCATGGGATGGCATGGATGGCATGTGGCATGGGATGGCATGGATGGCATGGGATGGCATGGGATGGCATGGGATGGCATGGGATGGCATGGATGGCATGGGATGGCATGGGATGGCATGGATGGCATGGGATGGCATGGATGGCATGGGATGGCATGGGATGGCATGGATGGCATGGGATGGCATGGATGGCATGGGATGGCATGGGATGGCATGGATGGCATGGATGGCATGGATGGCATGGATGGCATGGGATGGCATGGGATGGCATGGATGGCATGGGATGGCATGGGATGGCATGGGATGGCATGGATGGCATGGGATGGCATGGATGGCATGGGATGGCATGGATGGCATGGGATGG